GTGCTGCGTGTCCTCTCTGTAACTTGACTGGTTACTCTCCACCCGTCGGGCGAATCGTCATAATCAACAGCCCCCGTGATGAATCACAGTTTGGTTTTTCAGCGCAGTGCCGTAGCGTAGCGTAGCTTTGCCTCCCTAGCCTCCCTAGCCTGCCATGCTCCGTCTGTCTTTTGCAATCACCGGCCGGCGCGGCGTAGGGCGGGGACAGCAGTAACGGAAGCCGGCTTTGCTATGTGATGTGTCTATCGTATGCACTGCACTGTACCTGTGTTTGTTGTGTGCAATGTATGTCATGCCGTCAGTTACCGGCTGTAATTAATGATCAGTTATTTTGACTGCACACAAAGTTTGCCCCAGCCGTATCTCCCGCATAACAGACAGGGCAGATTACCTTTTGCCGGACCTGCTTCAGGAGAAACAACTGGAACGAAACAGCAAACCTTCGTACTTGAACACGACGAACAAAATAGATAATCGACCGTACAACAAGCGATTGGCTCGTGATGGTCAGGTATTGAATAGAGTGGGCGTCTGTGTGTGGCGCTTGACAACGTGTTTGCACAAAATGGAATGCATGAAGTCATGGAAACAGAAGGACCCAAGACTCTGAGCATCCGTGCCTCAGGTTTAGGTTAGGGAGAGGAGGGGGGCTGAAATGTGCCCAAAGGAAAAAAGTGTGAACTGGCACCACTGTTGCAGTTGCAGGTGTTGAACTGTGACGATCCATCACTAATGGGGGTCGCTCCTTCCCAGCCAGCCAGTAAGACTGCTCTGGAGGAGGGAAGGAACTATGGATGCATCGTGCATATCGGGGCTAGAGCGGCTAGGCGCTGCATAAGTTTATGCCAACCTATTTAACTTTGCTTTTTTTCACTATTTTATTTTTATGCAGCCCCGCGATAGGATCGACATTCTTTACTGAGCCATGGTTGAACTTTCAACTCTTCCAAGACTCAAAGTTCCCAGCCATCTTTGAGCTTTGATTGGTGCAACAAGAAAATGTATCAGATATCGAGATATCATGTCACGCTCATCACATTTCGACAGGGCTGATATGAGAAAGAATCAGATTTTCTTATTCTGTCCTGATTGACGAAGCAACATGGCGTTTCATCCGTAGGCGATACATGGTCCTATGGAGAACGAACAGCAACATGAGGCTACAGTCTGGCCGCTCCAGTACTGTAATGTAATGTTATGTGCTGCCCTTGTCTTGTCTTGTCTCGTTCTGACTTGTCCCATCTGACTCTGAAATCTGAAGCGAGGCCTGCCACTCACTCTCAGTCACTCATTTCATTAGATACCTAATGGTATCCATCTATCTATCTGGCTGGCTGTCTGTCTCTGCATGTATCCGTCCAACGACATAGGGTACCCTCGAACGGGCCTCAACCCGTGCTGGCAAGTTTTCTGTTTGCAAACAGCTCCAGTCACTGGCACAGACCCAGACCCTGGATTACGCGGTATTACTCGAAGTAGACAGATGCAGTGAGCGAGTGTCGACTCTCTGTCTGCTGTAAAATGTAATGTAACCTGTGCGCGACCTCGCCCGGGTGCGTCAAGTACCACCCAGTGGTCCCAGGCCACGGTGAGATGCAGGCAGACTGTGTGCTGTGTGCCTGTACCCCTGTCAGGTAGGACTTCGCTCTTCTGTCAAGCGACCCCTTCAGGCCTTTGAACAGGCCATGACGGGAGAGTGAGGCTGACTGTGGGAAACGGTTTACAAAGAGGCGTCCAATGAGAGGCTATACACGGTCAAGGGAATGCGCCCCACTGCCTACCTTCTATCAAAGAACCTGTGATCTTTGTCGTGTCGTGTGTGTTGTGCTGTGTTGGATGGATGGATTGGATGCATGGTTCTCACTTTGTTTACTGATAACGGGTTTACGGTGTGAATGCGAATGTGACAGCGAGACCCAGGTCGGTTCCTGTCATTAATTGCGTACAGGTGTCGCACAGTTACTGTGCCTCCCTCCCTCAAGCCCCGGATCTGAAAGCCTTTTTGACAGAAGGATGAGGATTTTAGACATGCCTGGTCGTTGCAACTTGTCTGTCAATCTGAGATCTTGATCACTTGCTTTCAACCTCTACCTTTTTTGTTCCAGCCACGAACCACTATCGCATGACTTTGACTCCTCAAATATGTTTCTCTTTACATATGAGTAAATTTTGATGGAAGTCTATGTAGATAGGAAGAACTCATACCGTAACTCCGTATATCCATTCAACAACTGTCTCGGCTACCCTATTCCATGCCGATATAACAGTTAGAATTCCTCCAAGGGTCCCTGGTATTCCATTTGAGTTGATTGTTGTTCAATGGCCCTTCTCCCCTGTAGATCGGGGAGTCAAGACTATCTAGACTATTACCGTCTCATGGTCAACTTAACAGTTGTCAATCCAAGACGGGGTCGATGGGGAACGGGACCCAAGAGAAGCGGTCTGGCAGTTCGAAAAAGGACGCTTCACCGTGATTGCCAATTAACTATCTAAGATGCAAGTCCAAATCCACGGGCGCATCTAAGCCATTCAGGGCTTAGCACCGAGATGATGTTGGAGATCTCGGTCCTCCCTTATTCCCCGTTTGTTGCCCTGTGCTCTCGGTTTCTCTGTGCGCGACCTAGTTGACCAACAAGAAACCAAACATCTGATCCACCTCGACACAGAGTGAGGCCGCTTTGTTGGCTTTGCTATGTCCATCCTTGGAGCTTGGCTTTGGCACTGGTGGCCTGCAAAATTGCCCACTGGGTTACAAGGATCACCCCTAGAATCGACCCATCTCACGCCAGCGAGCACTGATTCCTCTGATGCCAATGTGGTGGTGACCCTTGGAACAAGTGCCCGGTGGTCTACCCAAGTCAATCTCCAGACTCGAATTGAGTCCGGGGCGTCGATCATACACTATCTACTGTAGCTGAAGCGTAGCGTCCTGGCTTCAGGATTACCAGGAGGGACGAGCTTCTTGCCCTGCCGCCATGGGCATCGGCAAAGCAAATCGGTACGCCGGTCCTGGCATTTGTTTCGGTATACGATGCTCTACGATGCTCTATGTTATGCATGGTCTTATTTGTGTTTTGACTGTTGGTCGAAACCTGCTCGCTCTACTATAAACTCGATCATAAGCCAGTAGTTATCCCATCACGGCAATGCACAATAGGCCGAATCCCAGTCCATTATCAGCTGCTATTATGCATAAGCGGTGCCATTAAGCGTTGGAGCTGGCTAGAGACCAAGACCATCGTGGACTGTAGAAAATAAGAGCAGCAAATCGGGGCAATCCTCTGTGCAGTTCCAGGAAACGGCGCAGGTTCAGATGGAAAAGGTTTTCCCAGAATATTTCACCCGCCATGATCCAATAGGGAGTTACCCTTTGCACTGCCGGTCATGCACTCACTTAGAGGAAACTATGCGCAGCGACGATGAGCTCTGAGTCATGACTATGCATCAGTTAAGACGTCAACTATCGTGTCGTACAGAGGACAGCTGCAAATCAACAAGCCTCTTGTTCTTAGTAGATCATGAGATGATGGAAAGGAAATAAATGCACGAGCTTGTTGGTCACCATCAAGTGCCGCCAGGCTCACTTCCCCGGAACCACGGATGCAGTTGTTGTTTAAACCGGCGGGAGCAATATGTATCAGCATGACACACTTGGTTTTGGTTTGAGCGATATCTCGACCATTGATGATGTTTCTAGCCCGATTGAGATGCCGCTGCGTTTCAATCATGTCCTTGTATGGAAACACGACAAGCTTGGACTTAATTCTGGTCTGATAACGATCTTCAGATCGATCTTGCCAATCAGTATCACATGCAATATACTTGATCAGCCAGCTGTTATTCTTGGAAACACTGTCTATCTTCTCATACGTGGTGGGATAAACACAACCCGTCTTGGACGTCCACGACTCTATTACTGCACTAGGGCAGTTGCGTTTCGAAGATGGCCTGATAGCGATACTGAGACTCTCCGTTGTAGATTCACCGCCAAACGTTGGATGTATGCAAGGGCTGCTTTACGTAGCGTGTGGATGCAAGGGAGGAGGGACAAATGCAACGCTGTTGAACGTACATGGGTTGTCACGGGGTTCCTATTCTGTTCTAACTATTCTCAAAGAAAAACGACGCACAAGGGGAGAACCCGCCCTGTCTTGCCTGCCCGTCTCCAACTCTTACGAACAGTTCATCAAGATTACCTAGCCGCTATCAATCGCAATTGACTTTCCTTTCTATCTTTGCCACACCATCTTGCGGCACTTCAAGGCCGATCAGCTCAGAAACTTGCCGTAATGAGAGATTCAACGTTCGTCCGTCGCCTTGGCTACGTAAAAGTTTAAAGCGACACTGGTCTCGAACCTCAACGGCGTAATTGTCTAGAGGCCAAGGAGGGTCAGAAGTAAACAAATGGTGGACGGGAAGACATCCGGGGCTTGCTTGAGTCTTCAAAAGGACTCCCTCACGTCGCGTGCATGCATGAATTTGTGATTCACATCTTTACTCTAATTTGTTGGTTTAGTTAAGTTGAAGATGGATGGATGATCTCTAGCTTGATCTAAAAGCTAACGTCACTTTGAACTTTGACACTCGCTTGTCCCCACGGACTCAACCGAAAGTCTGCTCCATCTCGATAGAGTTTCTTGAAAAACAGAAAGAGAAGACGTGCAGGCAAAAGAGATGATTCGATACTCTCCTGATTCCGTCATCCTCATCCGTGACCCCGTGCCATGTGCTTTGTGGGGATGCCGTTACGGAGCGGACCCCGAGAGAGGACACGGAGCACCGTCACAGTTACCCTGAAGACAACACATACACATCAAGAGAATATTACACACTTTGCAACTTAATACATCATCTGATCCATCGGGGAACTTTGTACAAACACACAAAACATCATGATCGTCGCATTGACCAGATCATCAATATTGTGTCGCATGTCACTGGAACATCTACAACACTTTCCTTTGTCATGATGATCCTCATCCAGAGCTGAACGCCAGGATTCAGAATCTGCTGCTGCTAACTGGACGGATCATTTCGATACGGATCAAACTGCACATGGCAATAAGGACGAAACCACCAATCCCGTTAGCATCGTCAAATAGCTCCAAGATAAAGCAGAGCCCCTTGACACCTTCAGCGAACCAAGAGCCCAAGATGCTTATACGATGCCGATCCTGACGACACACTTACTGCTCTTTTCGCCACCGTTCGTCATAATGTCTTTGCCTTGCTCCGTCCTTGCCCTGTGCTTCGTTGTGTTGCCTCACCGTTTGTGAAGGCTAAAGAGGTTCAAGCAAGGGCGATGCTACAAGGATCCGTTCGTCTTCCCGCCTCCTGTCCAGCCCAGTCCAAAGAGTCACCGTTTTGGCCCTTCTCTTCCCAAGCGAACCGACCGAACCCCAAGCGAGTGAGGCTGCGAAACCCACTTCCCTGACTTGATATCCTTGACTCGTGGAAATTTCGTCTGTTCGGTCGGTAATTGGCCCTGTGTGTAATCTCCGTTACAGGATCTGTTACAGATGTGTAAGAGCACGGCGATCAGGGCGTACAGTACCAATCTGAATACGACTGCACATCATAATGCAGGGCAAACCAAAGCAAAGCAGAGTGCTCTCCCCATGTTCAATCAATATCCCATGGATCGGCGAACTACCCAAACTAGCAAGGTCTGTATAGTCGGCCAGAACCGAAGGGACGAGAGTAACATTCAAAGTTCTGATCTTCAAAAGCCTCACGCCTATCATGACAATCGTCACGTAAATACACAAAGATCACCAACAATCATCACGCTCGTAACATTACTGTACAACTCTGCTCGCCCTGCCAATCCGTGACACTGCCAGCAACCCGTACAACCCGACATCATTGACGTAAAAAAACCCCAACACAAGGACTCCCCGAGTAATACCCTTTACCCTGTCTCTCCAAATCCTGACCAACCGCTCTCCCTCCCAGCCTAGCGACTTACACAACGCCACAGTCACAGCACAACAGCCGTATTCCCCATATCACAGACCATCATCTGCGGCAAACATATTAGCCCTGTGGAACATCAGCTGCCAAGAAAATATAGCAATCAAACACACCAACAAAGCACCGTGACATGTCGTCTAGTTCCCTTGATTGTCAACGCCCCCATCTCGGTCTTAATCTACTGTACCGGGTTGTCAAACATCAGCCTGGAATGACCCGACCTGATCACAATTGCCTAGAAAATTTTCACAGTGGACTTGGCCGACTACCTAGTTTAGGCAGTTGTTCGTCTGCCCTGTCTGACACATGCTCACGCTGGCGCCTGCATCGCCACTCTGTGCCTGGGAGCCTCATCTCAATTCCAGCTTCGCCAGACGGATTCCTCCGTACGAGCCGGGCGCTGGGAACTACGAGTACGAGATCACGTCTTCGCATGTGAAAAGAAAAGATGATTCCGTCTTGCCCGTCGGCGATCAAACATCAGACAATTCGCGCAAATAGTGGTTCCATAGTAGAGTCTAGGTTATTACAATATCGTAGGCATTTGTTCCAGAAACCCACGTCCAAACACAACAAACTCCCAAAAAACTCCCGCAACTTCTAGCTTGCTTGTCCAGAATCTAGACTTCCACGCCTCGGCCGCATATGCGAGACATAATAGACAGGCTGAGACACATCAAGGCATGACATACGGATGGTGATGACACCCTCAGAGACACCGATCAAACAACCACATGTTTTGAACCGGTCAGAATCGGAATTCTCCCTTCCTTTATCTAGCCAAGTCTATTTTCCCAATCCATAGTTCCCTGGCCCGCATGGTTTTGTTTCTGAACTGCATCATGATTCCATTATCCGAATACATGATCAGCGACGTATAGGTCCCGCCTTCGACGCAAAGAAGGGATGGCGCAGCGCATCAGCTGGTGTGATTCTCTTATCCGGGTTGAGCGCGAGACAATGTTCAAGAAGATCAATGAAGTGGTTCAGGTCCTTCGTTTCCGCATCGTTCATACCTGCCGACGCCGCCATGAGTCTTGTTCTCAAGTCACGCGTTGGCTTCACAACAGCCAAAGTTTTAACGGTAGTCTGTAAGCAAACTTTGTTAGTCGTCGATTTCTGACAAACACTTCTAAATTTTTCTTTTCTTTTGAATGCATGCGAATGCGAATGTCCACAAGGGCTGAGCGCTTGCCCAAACCTTAGTAACCGTTGAACTCGTATGCAAGGGATATGTAAGTCATCGTGGCTGAAGCTGAAAAGGAGTGCGATCTACCGAGAAAGCTGGTCATGTCATATGGCCAGATCCAATCTTGAAAGGATCGTGAGGCGTTCAGTCACCTCATCCCGTCTCACACATCCCTCCCTAGATTTAGAAACCCCGCAAGAGCATTTTAGATCCAACATGTCTCATGGTTTGATCTATCGACATTCGTGTGGGTGATGTTTGTCGTGAGGTGCCCCCACATACCCCGAGCGCTTCCATCTGCAAGGGAGTTCGGCGCTTACACTTGCAGAGCCCCATGATGGAACAGCCCCCAGCCACCATGACAAGAATAGTTTAGACATCGCGTGTTAGGCCACACATACAGTGGCCATATGGCGCTTGGATGCAGACGTAAGGAGTGGAGGATGACGAAAAACAATAACAACAACAAACAACAGAAACGTGGAGGGAGTGAATGGAATCATAACATACCTTGTCTAAAACCTTGTCTCGTTCGACGCTGACGAATTGGCCCTTGTCATCGAAATGAACAGGAGCCAATTGTCCTCGCTTAAACAACTTCGGCGTCAACCTTCCTCTGATCTCCATAATGGCCTTGAGCATCTGGTTGTTGCTGTCGCCAGCAAAGAGGATCTTGCCCGTGTACATCTCGTACAGCGTGCAGCCGATGGACCACATGTCAACCGCGTAGTCGTAAGGGATACCCAAGATAATCTCCGGTGCTCGGTAAAATCGACTGACGAGATATGGTGTAATATCCATATGCGCAGTCGCCGCATCGGTCTTGTCGATGGCTGTACCTAAATCACAAATCTTGAGCACGTTACGGCTTTCATTCACCTACTCAAGTTAGTACTCGCTCGTCACAACAATGTGGTTGGGGATACATACCAAAATGTTGTCGGGTTTGAGATCAGCATGGATAATGCTGCACTTTCGCATATGAGCCAGAGCCACAAAGATCTGGTATGCATATGCTCGTGTCGCTCCGAGGTTGATGCCTACGTTGTTGCCAAACTTCTTGAGAACTTCTCGCAGGTTCATACTCAAGTTCTCGAATACCATACACAGATGGCCCTTGTAGTCAAACGAATGTTCAAACTTGATGATGTGTTTACGTCCCTCAGGGTCAGCCTCGTTGAGCTTCTCCAGGATGGCAATCTCAGTGTAGCCTCCCTTTCTCAGGGCATCGTTATTTCGCATCATCTTGATGGCAACAATCTGCTTTGTGGTTATGTCGACGGCACGGGCGACACCTGAAAACATACCCCGTCCAAGTGCTGCTTGGATTTGATATCGACCGTTCAGAACTTCACCAATACGGATCTTGTAGTATCCATCCTTGTCGTCGCCTTCAAGAATACCCCCCTTGATGTTTGGCATGTCAGGGGCTTTGCCGTCACCCTCGATAGGTGCTACAGGCTCGACGGGCTTGGTAGCATATTTCTCCTCATCGAAATCGTCGGCAAACATATCAAAGTCGTCGTCATCATCTTCGCCGCCGGCATTTTCAGCCGGCTTTTCTTGGTCTTTTTCCTGAGGCTGTGGTTTTGTTGCAATAGGATGCTGCTCACCATGAAGTACAACATGTCCATGTCGGAGTTCATCTCGTCGCTCATCCTCCTTCATGTCCCTAGTAGGGTCGTAGTCAGCTGCCGATGGCCCATCCTCGTCATGTTCCTGAACCTTTCCATGAGAATTCATTAGTTGGTTGTCGTCAAGGAGATTAATCCCCCCAGGTGACATTTCAACATGAGATGCGGGTGAGCGAGGTGATGCGATGTCTGCACCCCCTGGTTAGTAAATTTCGCCTGATAGAAGGTTTTGACATACCCGATCGAGGGGTGCAAGGGCTCTCAATCTCAGATTGAGTCTTTGCGGGCGTGTCGGGCACAGGGGTTGCAGGAGATGCTGCGCGTGCTTTGCTGGCCGCAGCTCCTACAGCATGGAGCAGGAGAGGAGTTGCCGAACTGGACTTGGCCAGGATCTCCTCACGTCGCTTGCGGCGTCGTTCAATTTCAGCTTCTTCGTCAACAGGTTCAGGCTCTTCATAATCGGGCTCAGGCTCAGGCTCTGGTTTTCGTTCGGGTTGTCTGTCTTATGTCAGTACTCCGATCAAATTCAAGGGTGCAAGAAACATACTGCTGAGAAGTCGTGGAGGGGCCATGTCCATTGGTAAGGCCTTGTTCAGGTTTAGCATCATGTCCTCGGGCGTGTGAAGCCTCTCCTACTGTCGTCCTCTTGGACATTGAACCACCATCCCGTGAGCTATCATCGTAAGTGAGTCCTCTCGGCCCATCGTTGCGATGATCGTGCTGGCCTTCTTTTGCAAACCGATCAAATCTGCCCCTGTCTGCGCGTCGGGATTTCTGAGGAGAGCGACTCCTGTTTCGAGGTCGTTTATTGGAATACCGATCTCGGTCTCCATCGCGATAGCTGTCTCGGTCGCGGCTCCGGTCGCGGCCACCATAGCCGTAGTTGGAAGTGCGCGGTGCAGGTCGGTCGAGGTCATCGTACTGTCCACGAGACTTGCGAGGATCATCGCGTCGACGGTCCTCGTAGTTGTGGCGAGAGTTTCGATGGTCTTGGTCGCGAGATCGGGGGTTGTGGTAATCTCTGTCTCTGCCTCTATCGTCGTGAGGTCGCTTGTAGCCACGGGGTGAAATGCTTCGTCGTGAACCGTTGCTGTATCTGGAAGCCGTGTCGTGGTCTGGAGTCGAAAGTCTATCTTTTTGTCTGTTTTGACGGTCAACACTGCTTCCTCCAGTGTGCTGCAGTGAAGTTGCCTTCAAATCTTCTGCGCAATTCTCGACGATCTCGCCTTCGTCCGAACTCAACGTCATGTTGACGACGGTGTTTATTGGATCTTTAGAACTTCAAGTGGAAATAAACAGAAACAGTGTCAGCGCTGGGAACTTGGGAAAGTAGTGTGCAATAGAAAAAGAGCCCAACCGGATCAGTAGTGACTCCTCAAGGCTCAGCGCCAATGGTGAGGTTGTTGACGATTGTAATGAAGAAAATAAGGGGGAAGCTGGAGCGCAGTCCAGATCAAAAGAAATATGCGGGCGAATTGGAGATGGGTGAATGGATGCTGGTGTTGTGAAGTCTGAACAGGTCGTAATGTCGCAAACTCAGATGTTTATCATCTGTTCTTCTGTCTCCGGACTTTTGACGTAACAACGAAACTGTAGGTTGGAGGTAACAAAAGTGGAACACTTTCCGGATTAGATAATTCCCGAAAGACCCTTATCCATTCATCTTATCGAGCTTTATCCCCGCGGTCCAAGTGGGCTCACCGCTGCAGGTTGGGTGGGCTGGGTGCTGAAAGGCCTGGAAGACAAACTTAAAGCGAATAATAAGCGGGAGGCAACTTTTTCCTTTCTCGCGACAACCTTTGTTTCTACAACCACATCTCCGTCTTTTTCCTACACAACTCTGTACTCTCTTTCACTCTACACACATCAAAATGGGCGGCTCCAACAGAGAAGGTTCGTTTACACACTTTGGCAAGCTATATTCCGACAGACAGAGAACTAACCCCTCCATTACAGGCGGCAAGGTCAAGCCCTTGAAGCAGGCCAAGAAGGCCCAGAAGGACCTCGACGAGGACGATATGGCCTACCTCGAGAAGAAGCGCGCCGGTACATACTCTCGAATACCAGAAACATCGCAGACACAGCTGGCTGACTACAATACAGATGAGAAGGCTCGCAAGGAGTTGGCTGCCAAGGCCGGAGGCAAGGGCCCTCTCAACACCGGTGGCCAGGGCATCAAGAAGAGCGGAAAGAAATAAACGTTCTCGCGTACTTTCTAGAGACGAGTGAACAGGGCCCATGAGGGTCGTGGAGGCTCTGGATGGTGTGAGCGCATCAGCCAACCTGCGTGCTTTTGGCGTTTTAGACATTGCCTACTGACGATACGATATATCGCGCGATGGCTAACGAGAAATGAATTCTATGCTGACACAAATGCTGACCTTGGCACTTTGCACGTTCTGTGACTCAAGGGTCGAATGTAGTTATAACTGTAAAACTGGCCGACGATCCATGCTATTGTTGTATTTCCTCCACTGTATTAGTGCAGCTCGCTTGTCGATTTCCACAGAAGTTATCGAAGTCCGTGAACCGTGACCGACATCCATTTCCATTCAACAAATCGATACACTATATGTAATCTTTCACGTACGATAAAAATAGGACCATCGGCTATAGTGGGCCTTCTGCAACACTTCTAAAGGCCTTCCATTAACTGACCATACAGCACTTTAGCCTCGGTGCACGTCTTTCCATGTGCTTGTCCCAACAAAATCATCCCAGTCAACTCAGCGTATTAGAAAAGTTGGCCGCTGGAAGCATAAGGGACGGAATAAGTAGGTCAGTTTATGCTACTTAGACCGCAATTCTTAAACCACTTATTTTTGTACCCTAAGAGGCCAACTTTTCTGCTGCTCATCAGCCGGTCAACAACACAACAGTCAATGACTCCATTACTACCGGACAAGTGGAACTCGATCTATATAAGGGTGGAAGCATAATACGCAAATACAAAGCTTCTGTTAATCACCGCATACTGTATTCAGCTGCATTTATCTAAGAACCTGGATAGCTTCGTTTAACATGACATCCGAGACTCAGCCTTACAACGTACGCAATCGCCGGCCTTCAGCGACAGAGAACCTTATCGATGCCGCTAAAAACATTGAATCAAAGGTTGAGAATTCACTTCTTCTTCTATGGGATGACCTTCCTGCCTGGCGTCGCGATAATGGATTCATCCTTTCTGGCTATCGCCAGTCTCAAAACTCCTATGCGCACTCTTTCCGTTCTCTCTTCTATCTCCACAACGAGTCTGTCAACATCTGGTCTCATCTTATCGGCGCCATAATCTTTCTTGGTAGCGCAGCCTATGTTGACCGAGTTGTTCGGCCTCGATATGCGAGCGCAAGTAGCGCCGATGTTCTCGTCTTTGCATGCTTCTTCGGGGGCGCTGTGGTGTGTCTTGGGATGAGTGCGACCTTTCACACATTGTCGAATCACAGCGATACTGTTGCGAAGTGGGGAAACAAGTTGGATTACACAGGCATCGTGGCTTTGATTGTTGGGAGTTATGTTCCAGCTCTGTATTACGGCTTTTTCTGTCTGCCCAACCTGATGACTGCATATCTCTGGGTCGTAAGTGATATTCTAGGCTCATGCTGGTGATTCATGCTAACTAGATCAGATATGTATCCTTGGAATTGGTTGCACCTTTGCTTCATGGGTTGACCGGTTCCGTACTCCGACATGGCGTCCCTATCGTACAATAATGTTCGTTGGACTTGGCCTCTCAGGCGTTGTCCCTGTCATCCATGGAGCTTTTATCTATGGCTTCCAAGGTCTTGAAGACCGGATGAGTCTTAGTTGGGTTGTTCTCCACGGCGCCATGTACATTTTTGGCGCTTTCCTTTATGCAGTATGTTCACTCCCGCTTCTTACTTCGAGTTCTGACTCTTATAAAACAGGTTCGCTGGCCCGAAAGAAGTGCCCCTGGCGCATTTGACATCTGGGGAAGTTCACATCAGATCTTCCACTTCTTTGTTATCCTCGCAGCTGTCACTCACTTTTATGGCATGGCCAAGGCTTTTGACTACCACCATACTATTATGGGCTCTCAATGCCTTATGGATTGAACGGATCACTCGTCTGTTTGTGCCAAGCCGAGGTCCATTACCCTGACCAAGCCTGATCCCATTGCGGCAGCGGCCCAGCAACCGTACTCCTCGTTAGGATTCCATTCGGCGACTGTGACTCTTGTCAAAGGCTCATAGATGATGGCTCTGGTTGGATCCATAATCGCGTTCGCATCTTCCTCATCATCGCCAACAGCTGTATCGGTCTCTTTCCTCTTTGGCTTCTTCCCTTTCTTGACAGGGGGTTTATGGGCCGAATGCTTTGTTAGGCTGCGCTCTAGGATGAAGCCCGATACTATCCTTGAGACACCCCGCGCTGCAGCAGGAGAATCAGCCGAGAACAACTTTCCAGGCCGATGCTCGTGATGGAAAATGCGGATCCGGTCTGTTGGTTCACGTCTGGTGGTGAAAATCTCAACCTGGGGGTTGATAGCCCACAGTGAGCCGTCCAAGGACCCGACAAGGAGGTATGGGTGGGTGCGTCCAACTGCCAAACACGAGGGATAGCTTTCGCCAGTGAACACACGACGGGCGACAGGGAACTGCGAGTGGTGCATGAAACCGACATGAGTGTTGAGAACACCTGCGGATGGGTACATGGAGAAGAAGCCAAGCAGATGGTCGCTGTATCCGAGGAGGTTTGGTTGCGTTCCGACTGTGAGGTTCTGGACTTCGGTAGATTCGTAGCTAGGGCCACGAAGGTCAAGTAATTTGACAGTGCCACCGACCGGGGTAGAAGCGATGAGATATGGCATAGCTGGATAGCCAGAGACGAGATCGACAACGATGTTATGATGGACAGGGTGTCGAGAGAGGAGGCGATGGGGACGGAGAGACCAAAGAGCAACGGAACCGTCAGTGTAGCCTACCACCAGCCTGTTGAAATTGACCCATGTGAGGGATGTCGCCTTTGCGTCTTCATCTGGAAAGCCAAACACAGCTATTGGCTCGACAACCTTTTCTGCGAATATATTAGAATGGGTTATTGCTTAAGATGAGGCCAAACTTACCATAACCTCCTTCTCCATCGTCCCCAGCTTCAGTGACATATACGCTTCCATCGTCGCAAAGAATTGCCAGGAAGCCACATGCCGGGCTCCATTTCACTCTCCGAGCGCGCCCATGTTCCAAACATATCGTTTTGCGTAGTGTCGGAGATTGTGATGAAGGTTGTGCAAAGCCATCATCCTGCCTCTCGCCCACAAACTCCCACAACTGCACAGTGCCATACTTCTGAAAGTCAGGGCTTAGAGACTGCTCTTCGTAGTCATACAACTCCTGGTCAGAATGTGGAATAACACATATGGCCAGCAGCTGCGGCGCGTTAACACTATGCAACGGCGCCCAGTCCATTCCGGTGACGATACCACCCGCATCTAACACCCATCCCACGGGTGTGCTGTCATTTTGTAAGGGAAGACCATCTTGCGATATTGAGTAAGCGTTACCAGGCTCGAATCTGATCTCTTGTTGCGATGTTGGCGGCCCTAGTAATACTGGCATTGGCTCTCTCTGGAAACGGTACAGCTCGGCTTCCTCTACTGATAGTCGCATTTGGGCGTTGGCTTCGGGAAGACTTTCGCGAACACGTTCGTACCAATGCTCAGCACTATAAGCCTCCCGTTCGAAGAAACTAGGCGACCAAACGCCTCTGTCTTTTTGTTCTTCCTCACCCGGGATCTTGGGAGGCAGAACGGTCCAGTCCATCCAACGATCCAGCATTCCTTTGACTAGATTAACACCATCTTCGTGTCTTCCATACCACGCTTCGACCAGCTGTTTCCCCTTAAAGCCGCGATCATAAGGCCCCCAGTATGATCTCACGATACGTCCGTCTGCGACAGGCTCTAAACCGAGATATCCTGTTAAGCCAGCAGCGCGTACATTGAATGGCCTGATTGGCTTCAAGCGCTGTCGCGCAAACCTGTCTGGTACTCCATCTGGTTCGCTCACAGGTCCTTCAGACTCTGGATCTTCATTTTCATCGTGCTCCTGTTCTTGATCGAGAGCGATCTCTTCTTCAGCGCTTTCTTCAGCAGCAGCATTCTCATCAAAGTTTCCGTCACGTTCCGCTTTCTGGGTAGCACGCTTGAGATTTTCTTCGTCTGAGCTACCTTCGAAATCGTATTTTTCAATCGTGTACCGTTTAGTACGATTGGATTTTCGTGTTCTCATGATGAAGGTGTGAGGGTGTTATCGAGTTGAAGAACTGAGGTGAGGTGCACTGGTCAAATTTTAGTGGGTCAACGCTTGGTGTTGCAGGCGGGTCGTAAAAAATAGGGACTGGAAACCTAAAGACCGGACGAAAATATTAGTCTTCACTTGGATTACATGCTCACGAAAACTGATCAAATATTTCTGTCAAGCACCCAGGTATTTTTGAGATAGCAGAAAACTTGATTTCAGCAGCATACGAGTCGAAAGACTCAGTCATTTTATTACAGCTCAGATAGCCCCCCAAATTCTCTTATTTGAGTTTTCAGCTTATCCCATAGATATATATCGAAGATTGCTCATTATGCTCATACATCCATCTCGTCTGAAACAAGTGTAAACCCCCTCCTTGCCTGCTCAATGACCCTGGTTGTTGACGTGGAAAAACAATACTCTTTCTCTTAGGTGGGTAGGCGCTCATCAGAGCTTATGCTTGCGACATGGTTTCCCGTCAAAACAGTCAAGACAAAGCCCATCAAATTCGACTTTGAGGAATTCGGAATTTCTCTTCTGAATGCCGCGGATGTTCATACCACATGGTGACTCTTGACAGGAATAATTTGGTTGTCGAGTCCACTGGTAGATTGCGAGAATCATGGCATGAATACATATGAGTTGCGAGTCGGCAGGCTTGAAGATACGATCTCTGATATGTCTGTGGATCTTTTTCAAATAGGTCTTTGTGCACGAAATACAGCCGTTAAGTACAGTCGCAGGCAAATCACCTTACATGAGCTTGTTTGATTCCATTATGGCACTGTCTCGTGTTGCTTGGAGCTCGCCTGTAGAAATGAAACAAAGGAAGGTCAATACTCTATTTTTGAGCCGCAAATACAAATAACAAACATGTAACCGTACCTGCGAGTTTGTAGGCAACAATTTCTGAGGCAATCATTTGGGTGGTTTGTTCCATAGTTGAAGCGATTGTTATGAATGGGACCTCGGTGTTTAGAATGAGTTGACGAGTAGCATCTTTGAAGCAACCTGCCTTTTGGTTCCTTAAAGATGCCACCGCAAAATCCAGAAAACAAGGTCAGAGTAGGGTTCCTTGATGCTCTCACTTGTCCAGAGGTTCAAGGAAAGCTATATGCTGTCCTTTATATCGTACTTGTCGACAACTAACCAAACTGATGACACTTGGGTCAGGGTCGGGTTCCAGAAAGTTGTGTGAGCCTGACAATGTAGAACACGACAAACCCAGCCGAAATCTCGACAGGTGCATCCTCTGACTCAGCCAGAGCGCGACCCTCTTTGAAGTTAGACCTCAGCATAGCAGCAAAGACGGGGGAAGCACATTTCATAACATCTGAAAGTACGCGCACTCGGATTTTGCCTTGTACAATAAAAACAACATCTTCATCAGGCGAAAAGTCATCAAAAGAGGGAGTGTCGTCAGGGGACTGGCTGTCGTGGCCGACCTTGTGGCGTTTGGCTGGAGTTTCCGTCATAATAGGTCGGTAGAAGGTAGCCGAGTGGGTGGATAGTGAAGAGAAAAAAAGAATATAGAAAAGAATGGATAATATGCACTTAATTCTGCAGCAGTATATAAGTTCTATTTATTGTTACAGCTGCCTAGCACTAACAGTACACTTCTTGAGGTTACTTCTTAACTGCTTGTCCAAAAACAATGCAATTAACTAAAGTGGCCTAATGCTAAAGTGAAAGATTACTTAAAACTTGCAAATGTGATATCATGTCTTAGGTTAGGCACCTAGCCATAGTAGAAAGATTGTAGAAAAATATGCCAATTGTCCTAAGTAGTAACCTCAGCGTTGTTGCAATGACACTCGCAAAGATCTCCACCGTCTCAACCCTACAACCCTGAATATTATTCCGCTTCAGTTTCAGTTTAGACTATAGTGATTTCTGCTGTCATTTATTAGTAACACTTTGCCTTTAAAACATAAAGCGAAGAGGTGACTTGCGTCCTACAAGGATGACAAGTACGCGAACTAGAAGACCTTGCTATCCACAAACAGACCATAATACACGATCGAGAACTTATGTCTGAATGTCAATTACCGTTTTTCTAATCATTACATGCCAGAAGAGACATGAATACATGCTGGTATGCAAGATATGAATGTTGTCTCCTCATAGGTACTGCCAATGATGCACCTGAAAGCAAACACGTGGTGACAAGCAGTCTCGGAAACCACCTTCAAAGTAAACATGGCGCCTAGTCTGACAGCTTAGAGTAACGGCAGAAAGATCAAGCATATTAGATATCATTTTGACTTCAAACTCCTGCCATACTAGCAGGGTATTCATCACAGATACAAACAACGAAATTTGGAAGGTAGGCAGTTACCAATATTGAGGCTCGCAATTAATTCTTTGACGCTGGTTCTCTCACATTTGGTTAGGGTGAGCTCTCTGGCTATGATCATGAGACTTGTTACTAAAGGACCTGTAGAATTGACGTCTCGATCATCCCCCGATGGAAGTATGCAGCGGCGTTGACAGGACTATTTCGGCAATGGTACAAACCGTGGTATTTTTTCTTTAAGGAGATCATTACAAGTTTCTAAACGAAACGGACTTGAAGATGTGCAGAGTAGAAGACACCAGGGTTAAGAAATTCGGTAGGAGGCTCCTTAAAGGGCGATCAGTAAGTTCTAGACAACAAGAATGTAATAGCTAAAAACATAATGTTGACTGTTATGAATTAAATTTATGGGTTTGTCTCTTACTGCTGAGTCGTCCGGCTTTTGGTGCCCCAATGTGTATTTTAGGCGGGCATCCTTATTAGTGCTGCCAGTGACTGGCAGCTGCCGCATCTCAAGCACCACCAACACTTGCCATCACTTCTTTTTATTTATCTTCCTCCTTCCTTTGTTCCCCCACTACTCCCCACACGTTCCGCATACTTGCCTCAAGATGAGTACTTCATCATCTGCCTCGAGCGAAGGCTCTACAGGTACATATGTGGGCATATCATACCTTTATGCCCCTATGCTATACTGACCTATTGCCTTCTGAACTCACTAGGCCAAATTGCGAAAATCTGCCAGAATGGGGATGCCGTCCTTGCAGTTGGTCCCAAAGCGAAGAAGATTCAGGTTGCCTCGGACTTCCTAAAGCACATTTCGCCTGTTTTCAAAGCAATGCTCGAGGGCCCCACGAGTGAGGGAGAGGCTCTTCGAAACAAGTCACCAGACTCTCCAATCACGATCTCGCTTCCTGCAGATAATGCATTGGCTATGGGAAGACTTCTGAAGATCCTCTATGGCGCAGACGACTTGGTCCTTGATTTTGAGGCAGTCTATGATGTTATCAGCTTGGTCGACAAGTATGCCATGACTAAACGACTCAAGGCTTTCGGGCTCGACTGGGTACGTATGGAACTTGACGATGAATATCCTACCCCTGCGCAATTCCGAGAAAGCTGGGGGAAAATAGTCCTTTCGTACATGCTAAATGACGATGCGGCTTTCTTCGAAATCAGTTCTTACCTATCCCAGCCGACGGAAGGGGTGGTAACTTGGGCGCTGAAATTACCTGATCAAGCACTTGGCTTGAGACTCGCTGGTATGTCTGAACTGTCCCCTAAGAATAGCTGTGTACTAATTGATGGATAGTGGCTATGTTTGAGCTTTATGAACATAACTTCGCCGCAGACCACAGAATGGGATTGTGCCTGGACTGCTTCAAAAATGCTCAGAGCAGCTTCGTTAACATGCAAAACGAGTGCTCGTTCGTAAACTATCACGACTGATGATGGAAAAACAGCGGTGAGACATACCGAAGGCCGCGAATTTGGGAAACCCTCTGGTATATAACAAGGGCAGCAAAGGTAAATGATCGAAAATACTAGTATACAATGGCACAAATCAACTCACCGATTTCTTTTCTTAAGCTACAGCAGTCAGCCCTTTCGCAACCCCAGGTACGCTTGGCAGTACAAGCGTCAGACAACGGTCAAACAAGAAACTAGCACAGCAATAAGGGAGGCCTAGAATTGAATCTGCGCCTCTGGGAATGTGGAATGAAAGAATTTTGGTCGGGTGGGAAGGTAGCGGCGGTTAAACAGATCAGATTACTACGTCTCTTTCTCTGTAGTTAAGCCCCTTACTACCCAAGAATCGATTCGTTGAATTCAGGGATCTTCACCAGGTTCGCATGCAATAAGTTCAAATGGTTGATCAGAGTCATCAAGCTCGTCAGCGAGCCTCATAAGTGAACATGTGACATCACAGTCCTGACAGTGAGCTATCTACACGACTGTGTCTTAATCACAAACAGAAATTGAACGTCTTAATCACGAGCAAAAATTAGACTATGCTGGTATAACTTCTGTACGTCGCCCCTGGACTTGATGCTGCCAACCAGTTGCATCCGTATCCCACGCAAGCAAGATGTGTCCTGTCAACGGCCCGTTCGACCAGGGTAACGCATCCATCCCCTTTTATCAACTCGCACGCTATGCTTGGTCTAATATGAACCTAGGTTTGATCCAGCCCCTGAAGCAAGAGGCGGACCAGCCTCTTGCCAAGAACCCGGATCAACAGATCGTCGAGGACCTCATTCCTGGAGGAGACTTGATCCTTGCCGTTGGCCCAGAAAGAAGACTGCTCGGGGTTTCTTCGAGTTTCCTTTGCGAGATATCGCCCGTCTTTGCCGTCATGTTCGGACCAAACTTCGAAGAAGGGCATCGTCTGCGAAGCACACAGCCCGAAGACTCCGAAATGGTGCTCGAATTGCCCGATGACAACGCCCAAGCCTTTTGTAACACTATACGCGTTTTGTACGGGGCCGATCCTGCGACAGCAGACTTCGAGCCGGCTGAAATCCACAAGATCACCATCGTCGTCGACAAGTATGACATGATTCCGCGCTTCACCTTTGCTTCGACATACTGGTTTACAAAGTATTCCTGGACGGACGACCCGGAAGAAACCTGGCAACTAACAACTGCAGCCTATTGGATGCAGAACCCTGATGCTTTCTTTAATTTTAGCAAGAAGCTCATCAAACAGCTGCAGACTTCCCATCTGAGTCATGTTGATAACATGCCGGACAAAATGCTTGGGTTGAAACTCTGTTGTAAGCTAAGTCCAAGATCTGGAAATCAGAACGAAAAATTACAAACTACGGTAGCTAACTTCGGATAGTGGCAATCGAGGAACAACGCGTCCACAAGCTTATACACTGTACGAAGGCCAGGGGCTTATGTCTGCATTGCTTTAGCCGGTCAAAAGTCGCGTTCACTCTGAGGATTAAGGGATGCAAGCACCGCAAGCATCATGCTTGAATGTGTTATTTGGGTGAGTGTTGGCAGTGATATTGGGCTAGTTTACAAGGCGTTTGGCAATCAGTTTGTGGTGATGCTCGACTTGGAAGCATCAGAAGATGTGGTTTCTACGTCAGTAGGTGTAAGATTGGTAATGTTTATCGCAAGAAAAATCGTCTGCTGTGAATTAGCTACCAAAAAGGTTCAATTGAAAATCGTAAAACTCTTTCCCTTGCCCACTGTTTGCTAAGCTGAGCATCCTTAAAACCTGCGATGTTGCTGAGGTCAAGAGTTGACGTCGTCTCGAAGCTGCTACCCGACGATTATCCGAACTGGCCATGAAGCCGCAAGCTCACGACATTTCATCAAAGAGCATCAATAACTTATCAATAACGAGAACATGAGTGGACCGCAAAGAACAGGAAGCCAAGGACACTCAAGGCATAAGTCTATCACCAAGAGTATGTCCCCAAAAGGTGTCCGCTGTTGGTTGAGGTTGCCATATGATTGGGGTCGTTATCGCGCTCACTGCCTAACCTAAGGCTTCATTAACATATTTGCGATAATGGCGTAATAGTGCTAATTCTGTCTCAGCTCGACCTAGATCCTCTACTAAAGGACCTCTCGATCTTGACGAGTGAGTTCCCTTTGAATATTGAGTTCTGCGAAGGCTAAATCTTGTTGTAGTGACCCGCTACTCTCACCTCCTCAACCCACCCCTCAACGTTCTTCCTCAATCACACAACGTAACAGACTCTCGTCACCGCATCCGCGGTCATCAACAGCAACACCGGTTTCACAACTAGGTGAAGCCAAACCAAAAGACTTTTCGTTCCTGTTGCGACCAGAGATTTACCACCCTCTTACCCCTCTTAACGTCCCTGTTGCATTCCGTAATCCACAAAGGCAGCCCAATCCCGAAGCGCCCGTTGAGGAGCTTGTTGCCAGTGGTCACTTCAGAGCAGCCGCTATCGCAGCAGTCCAGGAGCTTACAGGCTCTGGAGCAAGCGGGGGCATTAACCCTACCAACTCCAAGAGGATCTTCGAGCTTCTCTACACCCGTCTAGCATGTCTTACCCTAATAGATGCGACTCCCCTGGCCGCCCAGGAGGTGAAAGCCATGGAGGATCTTAATGACATAAGAAAGTACGTGGATGAAACGACAGGAGAGCACCTTGTACCCTGGGAACTCCGAGTTCTCAACATCCGCCTTCAGTCACTTGGCTTCGGCGATTACCGCAGAGCTGTAATGAGCTACCACGATCTCGCTCGCGAAGCACGAGAGCGCATCACGAAAGCAGCTGCGCAACACGACAACTCTGCCAGAGAGATCTGGAAAGCCCGTCTCCACGATCTTGGCATTCAGGTAGCAGGTGCTCTCATTGAACTTGAAGACTTGACGGGTGCCGCGCAACACTTGAACACCCTGCAGGACCGGGGTGATGGCAAGATGGCACTTACAAAGGCACTCCTGTGGCTGCATCTAGGCGACGTTGATAGCGCAAGGGATTGCGCGCGCCAGGCTGTTGGCAGTGACGAGAATGTAGAGAAGCTCATTCTAGCGCTCTGTGACATGGCGGACTCTGAGTATGAAAGCGCGCTCGATGCGTGGAAGGAGCTCAAGGAGACTATGGATGACGAGATGGTCGGTGTCAACACAGCAGTATGCTTGTTATACTTGGGAAGAATACAAGAGGTAAGAATTGATGTTCGGATGATGCTTTATGTGCTAACTCTGTTAGGGGCGAACGGTATTGGAAGAGCTTGTCGACTCGGGTCTGTCGTCGCATACGCTGCTGTTCAACTTATCGACTATGTACGAGCTGTGTACCGAGAGGCACAAGAATATGAAGATCAAGTTGACGGAGCGGATCGCTGGCATGGAAGCATCAGCAGCGGGTTGGGAGAAGACAAACAATGATTTCAAGCTATAATCACTGGCTATCAATCTCAGTTTAAGGTAGTGGAAGCTGCCACTTCAAAACTGCGTCGTCCAGGATACATGACATGGTGAAATGAACGTGCCCACCCAGGCAGTCCACACCTCAAGCAAAGCATTCTCTATATTAGACATACTGGAGGTATTCAAAGGGCTGCGCATGACATGAAACACATGGAAATGGATTAAATGGATTTTAATATGTATTTCGTACCATAGCGATTGAGCTCTCAGCGCATGAGTGACCTAGCTTTATTACTGTACATTGTTGAAAATGCCTGTAAGATAGGGTGAGCAATCTCGAATATCAGTGTTTTCTAATGCATCCATATGACTTCATAGTTCAGATATTCCGAGTGAACTGAGAGTATCTCGTTTCTCGCTCGAAGGCCGACTGAAGCTACCCCACATTCGACCTGTTGAGCCTCGGCACAGACATCCATGTCGATCATGCCGATCTCGAGCATAATTAAAGGCCAGAGTCTGGGGAAACCCCATGATTTTTAGCACCATCATTTCTTTAACTCAAGCCCTACCTCTTGTGACAAAGCTGTCAGCCGAAAAAGTCATCATACTTTGGAAGCCAAAACCATCAAGTTTCTTCAACTCAAGCTTCACCCTCACGCCCTTTTAAACACCATCCATAGCGCTCAATATGTCGGACCGTGTTAGTCAACTCGCAGGCCATCTGAACTACCCCAAGGGTCTACTTTCAGGACAATTAGCGATTATCACTGGTTCTGGTCAGGGAATTGGCGCAGAAGCAGCAAAGTTGTTCGCTAAAGAGGGCGCAAAGGTTATTGTTGCGGATATTGACGCAGGTAAGAAACTTTTAGAATCATGAGACAACCGAACATAACTCTAACTATCACAGAAAAATGCAGTGCTGTCGCTGAAAGTATCAACAAGGACGGCGGTCAAGCCAAGGCCGTGCCTGGTGATATTCTTAAAGCAGACTATATCGAAACTCTGATAAAGAGCGCTGCTGACTTTGGCGATGGCAAGATCAACATTATTGTCAACAACGCTGGCTACACTTGGGATGGAGTTATTCATAAAATGACAGACAAGCAGTGGGACACTATTCTGGCTCTTCATTGCACTGCTCCATTTACTCTTGTCCGGGCTGCAGCGCCGTACTTTCGCGTACGCGATGGGGCTCCTCGTTGCATTGTTAACATCTCATCTACATCTGGCGTGCACGGAAACGCAGGGCAGCTCAATTATGCCTTGGCTAAAGCGGGTGTTACTGGCTTCACCAAGACAATTGCAAAGGAGTGGGGTCCTGCTTTTGGTGTAAGGGCGAACACTGTCGCGTTTGGACATATCCTCACGCGATTGACTGCGGCCAAGGAGGAGGGTGCGTTCGTAAAGGGTCCAGATGGTGAGAAGATCGCACTGGGCATCCCAGCGAAACAGAAGCAGGCTGCAGGCGATGCTGCTTTCGCAGATATCCCCCTGAGACGAGCGGGCACCCCAACTGAGGCCGCGAGTGCTATCCTAGCTGTGGCCAGTCCATTGTTTTCTTATGTAACAGGACAGACCATTATGGTGACCGGGGGACGTAACATGTAACATTTCCATACTGTAATTGAGAGACGAAGTCATGCTTGAGAGATCGCACGGCTGAAAAAACGTGGTATTAGATTAAATGGTACTATACTTCCCCAAACGCCCCATCCGGCAAGATGTGTTCTTTTTGATCATATCATTCCCATTCTAGACCTTGAGCCACAGGTTGAAGACACCTTGGGCGTACTGCACAATCTCGTCTCCGCCAAGCTTGCTCTCTCCGTACAGACGGTCGACGAAGGAGATGGGAACCTCGGCGACAGTGCAGCCCATAGCCTTGGCACGAACCATAAGCTCCATCTGGAAACTGTAACCCTTACTCTCTGTGGTAGCAATAGCCTTCTCCAGGGCAGCACGCTTGTACAGACGGAAACTGCCTGTCAGGTCGCTCACGCCAGGCCGCAGGACAGTGTCGGCGAACAAGTTGGCGCCACGGCTGACAAACTTTCGCTTGAGATCCCAGCCAAAGACGCCTCCATCTCCAGCATAGCGAGTACCGGTGACGATATCGTAGTTGCCCTTCTCCTGGAGAGCGACCATATCGGGGATGAACTTGGGGTGGTGGGAGAAGTCGGCGTCCATGATGATGACAAAGTTGCCAGTGACAAACTTGAGACCGTGAACGTAGGCCGTTCCGAGACCGAGTTTACCAGCGCGGGGCTTGAGGAGGACGTGGGGAGAGTAGACCTTGACGAGCTGCTGGGCGACTTCTTGGGTTCCATCGGGGGATCCGTCGTCGACGATGATGAGTTCCCAATCGAGGTTGCTGATCTAGTTAGTTTTCCAAAATCCAATTATTACTATCGATGTGTACGGACTTCTCAGTGAAGGTGCGGTTCAACAACCAGGTAATGATGGGGAGGTTCTTGCGCTCGTTGTATGTCGGCAAGATAACCGAGTACTTGTTTCCCTTGGGTGCCATGATGGGTGGGATTGGAGGGGTATCGATTTGAAGAAGAAAGATAAAGAATAGAAGAAATGACCTGAGAATAGGTAGATCAAGGAAGAACCGCAAAGGGAAAATGAGCGTGAGAAATTGGGGATCGCGTTGATGGATTATCTCGTCGTTATTCGCGTCGAGCCACTCTCTAACTTTAGGAGACACTTGGAAGCTGGCGATGGAGCATGGGGCATGAAAGGAATGACTAAGCCTACGATGGCGGGAGAGCCAGATTGCACTGAATAGCCCCTGAATTCTGAAAGTGTGGCGGTCGAGCTTTGGGGTTTGTGGCTGGTGAGGTACAATTTCTTGGTTTGACTGATGCCGATCTGCTAGCATGGATTGGGAAGCATTGACATGCAAGTCAGTCTTGGGATCGTCAATTCTGCCGTCATGTCATGCCCGCCAGTTCAGAGAGGGGGAATTGCATCTGGGACAGTGATTATTTCTCAACTACTTACTTATTGCTCAAAAACCATAAGGGCATGAGAAACAAACAGTGATATTCGTGGTCTGCTTCAACCACGTACTGGCTGCCCAGCTAAAGACACGAAACTCTGCTTAGCCAAAACTCTCTCCCAGTGATTTCCCCAGCAACTCTAACCAAGTACCGGTACTAAAGCTCTGTCTCACAGCCAAATCAGTGGCTTAGGGCCTGCAAGAGCTCAAACCACTCAAGCTCTTTTCCTCGTTCCCCGCAACGCAACGCGACGCAACACAACCGCAGCGTAAGTCGAATCGAATCGAACTGGGATCCAATCCCAACATGACGACCAAGTCCGTCCCGATCTGCAGAGTTCACACCGTCAAGTACAGGTGTTCCTTGGGTTAATCTTACAGTCCACCAAGTTACCGTACAGTGACGAAAGGGCGTTGGCGTGGGCGCAAGACGCCTTTACCGTTGCCTTGACCCAATGCATCCATCCCCATCCCCATCCCGTTCATGTTACTCGTCCCTCAATTATTGCGGGCAAGGAACCTCGATATTGTTTGTGCATCCTCGGCTTCGGATCTACCCATACCCAGTCTCTCTCTGCTTATATGCTCTGTTTCTAGCTATGGCTTGTGGAACCGTCGTGACCTCGTGCTCTCGCTCCCGCCAACCTCACTCCAGCTTCCCGTGTCCCATTCTCAACTTGAATTCTTTCCTTCTTCTCCATCGTGAAGCATTATTCTCACTCCCGCGACTCCAAAACAGTATCACAAACTGCAATACCATCTATTCTTAATTCTACCGCGTTTTGCACATTTGCGCTTGTAAACCAGACTCGCTTTGCGACAACAATTGTTACGTCATCATCATGTCGGACGGAATCGCTCCAGCTATAGACAAAGGTAAGCTTCATCGCCAGCCATCTCAATGGCCCCGCGTTCATCGCGTATAGTCTTGCGCTATGCAATTGGCGCACGCGGTGGCTTTTGAAGTCTCATGGGCTCTGCAATACACCTATACCTCGAGTAAACTGACGCATTCTAGTCGGCGCACCTGCACCTACGGCCCCCGAAGCTGAGGCTGGCGCTCCCACCTTGGGCACAGCAGCTCCTTCAGAGCCTACCAAGTCAGAGGAGAGCAAGCCTACTGGTGGTGCCGGTGGTCTTCACGCTCCGCCAAAGCCCGTCGAGGTTGCTTCGGTTCCACAAACGCCCATCAACAACATGACCCCAGCAGGTGGCACTCCTCGACCTGTGCTCAACATCGAAGAAGAGCCCAAGGATTCGCCAAAGAACGAAGATGAGAATGCTTTCGTCACCACCGGCGTAGAAACAACCTCTGCGCCTACTGTCTCGGAGCCAAATGATGTCAACGGCACCAACGACGTCGCCGAAGCCGCTGCTGGGGAGAAGCGCAAGGCCGAAGAGCCCCCTGCCGCTACTAACGGCGCTTCTGCTCCCATTGTAACAGAGAAGCCCGAATCAGAAGAGCCTGTCGAGAAGAAGGCTCGCGTCGAAGATGTCGCAGATGAGCCGACAGCCACCGAAGATGCTGCGCCAAACGGTAAGCAGGAGAATGACAAGACTCTGAAGAAAGACAAGAAGGTTGTCCCTCCAGTTGGTAAGACGGCACGCAAGACGCGAAGTCAAGGCCCTGTTGAAGTCTAGGCGCGATTTATAAATCTTTCCTTATTTTATCATTACGTTTTATGAGTGTTGAGCAGAACATTGCTCCAAGGATGGTACGGCGAAAACGGCACAGTCGGTGATGGGAACAGGACCAGCTTCCCAAAGTCTGCCTGATTGGAGGTATTACGTGTATATTTATGCGCCAGGTAGTAAAACAATGATTATTCGCCTCTGGCCTTGCGTGAGATGCTTGATGATTTCTATTAGTACAGGTATTCTAATACTACAGCGCCTTACCCAAGCATAATAACACCAGTCGCATGCCTAGACAAGCGATCACTTTCCAAGGATCCTGTATTTTGCATTAAGAACGAGTCTACCTAGTCTCTTTTCGTTGCTACCACTTTTTACAGTTCAATAATAGGCCAGCTTCTTTTCATCCATGATGGCAAGGCCCAACCGATTCTCGATACAGGTTGCGCTTGCTCAACAACTCCACACAACTGAAGCGCAACCTGGACCAGGTCGTTGACAATGAAAGCGAGGACAGTCTTGGTATATCGTTTTGAGATAGGGTTAAAATGATGTTGCTCAAGCTAGTTGTTGCCGCAGGTTTTGTACGCTCACTTCAGTTCCCATAACAAAAGTAGCAAGTCCAGCGCGCATTTTTGCACAACTCAGTATCTTGATTCCATCTTGACACAAGAATCAAAGCAGGAAATACAAAACCTGCGTTCGGTGGTAAGTCCTTTAGGAAGCTTCAGGAGACCTTGAAGCGAGAGCCCCTAGAAGAACGCATAAGAACAACTCATTCACTCGGCGGAGAACAACGAGCGTCGTAAGTAAATAGCCTTGGGTGCTGTCGCCTGGTGTCAAGTCCAAGAATCTTGTGACAAGTGAATTGTGCCTGGTTCGATTCGGAGTATTCCGCTCAGGAAGGTCGCGGAGGTGAGGCGGAATAGGACTACGACAGGCATAGTACTGATGGATATGAGGACGGAGTCGAATGTCTAACGCTCGGATATCCATTATTGGTGACTGTTTCTGGGCGAAAAACCCACACGTCGTGGTGACCATTGGTCTTGTTTGGTAGCGGTGGGATAGTGGAATAGCTTCTCAAAACGGATATTGCCCTTCTATTCGCGTACCTGAATCTAAAGGCTGAAGAAAGGTAAGGAATAAATGGTCATTGGGTACATATCTGGGGAGCAGCTTCTTTTATCAATCACCCACTTCATAGAGTTCACTTGCTGCCATATTGAATTGGGCTTTTTAAATGAAAAAGACAAAAAGGTTTATAGTTTAGCAAATAATTTGTGAGCATATCATGTACAAAGCTTCTATAATGTGTTGCTATGCAGATACTCATCTGAGTTCAAGGTTGAAGAACTATCGCCAAAGTCTTTTCTTTGGCTCATGTTTATCCTGCGTCTATTTCTTTGCTGTGAAGGACTTCTAATCTTGAAATATCGACAACTCTAGTTTCTGAACTTTCGGCAACAAGATTTTGTGTTATTGACGATGAGTGTGTTCCAGTGATGCTATTGAGTTCTCTCAATGGTGAAGAATCATGGTCTCACGTTGACATAACTTCTATAAACATGCATGTGACACTGTAGGTCCGTGTATGTTAAAACAGCTAATGTCCTTGGCTAAAGGGAAAGATCGATTATTGTGACAAGAAAAGTATCTAGCCATGGGCCTCATGTCTCCCTCTGCTTCTAGGCTTCCTTGACCGTTAAATACACCGGCCCGGTATAGAATGCCCCTTGTTGCAGCAGTCATAACTTCAACAGGAACCTGAGAGATTTCCAACTTCTTATGTAGACTAAATTAGCCGCGCATGATTATAGTAAAATATAATGTTTAAGCGTGCTTGCGAAGTAGTACCAGCAGCAGACGATGAGGCCGTGCTATGATGGCGTTGGCGAAACGATCTCTCTGGGACAAATCAAGCAACTCCAGGTAACGCAATTCAGGTCCGAGGTCCATGGTACAAAGGATAAGACACCCTTCTATGAGTTTGCTGGAGGCGGCAGTGGTTGTCGCTGTTCGAAAGACGGAATATAGCAGCAGCTCTAATAAGAACATCATAGTAAGGGTCAGTGAAACGCACTGCAAAAGAATAAGACAATGGGTTGGATTCAGAGTAACGATTCATCAGAAACTCAGCATCCGCTCAAAGCCATTATGTGTCTGCGGTGTAGTGTTTTGTGTCTGTTTAGTTTTTGACTCTTATCTGTTGCATCTTGAGGGTATTGTCAAACCTTTGATGTTGCAATCTAATCCTCTAAGGTATTTCCGCCTACATAATTATTAGTATATGGAAATTAGGATAGATATCTGTATTGTGAGCCTAAACCTAGACATGCGAAGATATGATTCTATATGGTTTACAGCACTACTATTTTATCCCTCCACATTAAATACAGCAGCACCGTCATCACAAGTCTGACAGCAGGCATTCGGAAACACTTGGAGGCTGGTGGCTGATAGCATGCATGTGTTTTTACAGTCATCTGTCAAAGTGAGAATAATAATATATAAACATCAGATAGATAACCATGGTCAGCGCCATCAGCCTTAGACCCCAAGATGATCCAATGTAAGCTCAGCTAGCTGAGGCGTATGACAAGTCAAGCTTATATATATTCCGGCACAATAAAACACATGCTTTGTGATTACGCTTCAAGCAAAATCTCCTCCAAGGTTATATGTAGGTTTATATTCATTTTTCTCTATGCTTTCGGAATTCACCAACGTGATGTTTGCCTCGCCCAGACGGGATAGATACAGTGACTTATACATGGAAAACTGTCTATATAATTAGGCTGTTCTACTGCTAAGGAATGATAAAATACTTGACAATTATTTTTCTCTGCGAAAATTTGATAGAATCGAATAGACTTTCGCCGTCATGCCTCGGGCCGTAGTGCGTGGTGATGGAATTTAGTTTTTTTCTTTTTCCGACTCACTGTTTCAGAGTTTCAACAAGCTTTGGTACCTACCTCAAAGAAGCCCCATCGGCGAATGCACGAGACCACTTCCCGATTGACAGTGCTTGTTTTTCCTGATTACGATCGATTGCGTGTCTTTGTATCGATATGTCATTGAGCATGAACTATTTTACTTGGTAAAAAATAGTGGCGAATGAAGCGGATAGTAAAATGCACCATTGAGGCATGAATGTACTTTGTACCGGTCTGGATCCATCAAATGTTTGTTTACGGGGAACCAAAGGAAAGGGGGATTACAGTGCAAATCACAGTACAGTCAACAGATTGCAAGGCGGTTGGGGCGTTTGTGTCAAGACAAAATTGCATATTTATGCCAGGGCAATGCATATAATCTGCAAGACAAGGCGTTGCAGGAAAGACATATTAAAAAGAAAGACAAAAACTGTGACTGAATGTGCAACGCAAGATCGATCGACAACGGGTTGACAGCACGTTGGAACCAAAGATCTTTGATTTTGGAGCGTCATCACATCATTTCCGTTTGTAGAAGAGCATAGCTTGGAATGCTTCGTATCCATTGAGTTCGGGACCGCTAAGAAAAATACAAAAACCCTCCCGCCCAAGGTCTCTTCCAGGGGATCCGGCCATTCAGCATCCATGCAGGGGCAATGGTCCAGGTAGACGTGGCGAGTGCATAAGCTAGAAGGGGGGTAACGATTGGCTGTTGTACTCACGGATGAAGAACGACTCCACTGCTTGGCGGATCCAGAGGCGTCAAAAATAGCATCTGGAGCTGGGTCCATCCCCACGAAGGCCGCGTGCTTTTCTTGACAGACACTGAACGGACTAAAGAGACAGGATGGGATGGTGAATGCCACTAGATGGGTGTCAGGTATTTTGTTGAAAAGTCTGTGACTTGTACTTGTGATTGATTTTGAGAGCAAAGTATTGACAGCACATATACCCGTAATATGTCACATGCCGTTGAGTCTGGATCATTCTATACAAGACAATTAACATTAACATTACCCAGACTAGCCATCTAAAACAGGGGACTTTTATTGGCGTTGGTAGGTTAGATTCGGTTCGATGCAGTACCGGGCTCCTTAGATGAATGCCAAGCTTTCTCCGTTGATGACTTCTCCCCCAATAAAGACAAAAAAAAAAGTGAAAGTCTCCCCCATGATAAACGGGATCCATGTCAATGTCATGGCTCCTCCTTAGTCTGAATAGGAACCTCCACACCCCCAGCCCTACTTTTATCTTTCTACCCTTTTACCTACGTACGTCCCGGACCTTGCTTCTTGGAACTTGGACATCCTATCTCTCCGGACTTGACCAATTCTTTGTCCCTTCCCTTTTGTCCTTTCTCCATCATCGTCGCTTGTTCCTGAGTGACGCCATCCGAATCGTTTCGCTTCGCCTTGCCCCCTTATCCGCGCCTCATCTCTGGGAGACCTTACGGGCCAGTCCAGTAGCGTTTCTTTCATTATAGCGACACACTCGTTCACTTAAGCTCTTTGTTTACCAACGACGCATCTGTTACCTCCAGCCTGGACATTTACCCCGTTGCCCTCCACTGACTAGGCTTCGTCAGCTGTCTCATCTCGATTGCGACTCAAACCCCCCCTGCGAACCTATACGAGATTCTTCCCTCGTCGACGTCGTTCAACTATATACTCTCGATACGTGCTCACAAACATTGAGCTTTTGAGATCTCCAAAGATCGCCGCCGCGCGCTGTACTAGACTGCCGTTGTTCTTCTGATTTAAGCTCCAACGTCTTCGCCCGTTGGCGGAGTCTTCGCGCCCAGCATGGAAGGTTCAGCCCACCTACATGGCCGAGATCCGGAAGACGCTGGTCACCAGCTGCTCAATCTTCTCCGATCCCCTTTCAGTGGACAGGTATGACTTGCGACTGTCCAGACGATGCCATGTGCGCACTGCTAACTCTCCTCTCAAGCTTCAAGCTGCCTCGCTGTACTCTGCTTTAGCCACCTCACTTCCCGTTACAATTGGCATCGCCATCTTTTTCTCCATCTTGCGACCATACCATCAGGCAATTTACGCCCCAAAGTTGAAACATGCCGACGAGAAACACGTACCGCCACCTATAGGAAAGGCCCCTTGGTCGTGGATAACGACGTTATGGCGAACCAACGAAGATATGCTTCTGCCTTTGATCGGCATGGATGCAACCGTCTTCCTACGCTTCGTTCGCATGTGCCGCAACATGTTCCTTACTCTGTGTATCACTGGCATCGGCATTCTTCTCCCTGTCAACGTGTCAAGATTCAAGAATTATGACGGCGAGAAACAGGCTAGCTGGGTCGTCAGCATCACTCCTCTCACAGTATATGCACCCGCAATCTGGTCTCAAGTCGTTATCGCTTGGTGCTTCAACTTCATTGTCATTGGCTTCCTCTGGTTCAACTACAGGAAGGTTCACCAGCTCCGGCGCAGATACTTCGAGAGCGAGGACTACCAAAAGAGTCTTCACTCTCGTACATTGATGGTAAGACAAATTAACAACTAAGAAGGAATTGCCTACTCACGCTGAATCGCAGGTCTTCGATATTCCCAAGAAGGGCTGCTCTGACGAAGGCATTGCCAGAATCATCGATCAGATCGCCCCTAACTCATCCTTTGCTCGAACCGCTGTTGCCCGAAACGTCAAAGAACTCCCAGCTCTCATCGACCAGCACGACCACGCCGTTCGTAAGCTCGAGAAGATCTTGGCTAAGTACCTCAGGGATCCCAGCAACGTTCCGACTGCTCGCCCTATGTGCAAGCCCTCCAAGAAGGATCGATCATACGGGACTTACCCTAGAGGACAGAAGGTAGATGCCATTGAATACTATACTCAGCGAATTCGTGACCTCGAGGTTCAGATCAAACAAGTTCGTGCGACTGTTGATAAGAGAGGTTCGATGCCCTATGGTTTTGCCAGTTATGCGGATATCGCAGAGGCCCACGGTATTGCGTACGCGTGTCGCAAGAAGAAGCCTGTTGGCGCTACGGTCAAGCTTGCGCCTCGGCCGAACGACATCATCTGGGAGAACATGCCCTTGTACAGTAGCACACGCGGACGACGACGATGGGTCAACAACATGTGGATCACTCTCCTCACACTTTTCTGGATTGTTCCTAACTTGGGTATCGCCATCTTCCTTGTCAACTTGGAAAACCTGGGCAAGGTCTGGCCTGCTTTCCGAACAGAACTCGCCGCTCACCCCAAGGTTTGGGGTGCTATCCAGGGTGTTCTCTCTCCAGCTATCATGTCCTTGACCTACCTTGTTCTCCCTATGCTTTTCCGTCGACTTTCTGTCAAGGCTGGTGACCAGACCAAGACTGGACGAGAGAGACACGTCTTGGCCAAGCTTTACTTCTTCTTCGTCTTTAACAACCTTTTCATCTTCTCCATTTTCAGTACAGTCTGGTCATTTGTCTTCAGCGTTGTCCAAGATACAACTGGCGTTAATAAAGAGGATGCTTGGGAATCAATTAAGAAACAGAACATTGCTAGTGGTCTCTTTGAAACCCTTTGCAACAACAGTCTCTTCTGGGTCACTTATCTACTCCAGCGTCAACTCGGTGCGGCTATCGACCTCGCTCAGGCCTGGCCTCTCATTCAAGCCTTCTTCCTCAAGAAATTCTCCAGCCCGACACCCAGAGAGCTTATCGAACTTACCGCCCCACCTCCTTTTGAGTACGCTAGTTACTACAACTATTTCCTCTACTATGCCACAGTCACCATGTGCCTTGCCGGTATCCAGCCTCTGGTCCTCCCAGCAACAGCTCTTTACTTCGTCATTGATTCGTGGCTCAAGAAGTACCTTCTACTCTACCGCTTTGTCACCAAGACTGAGTCTGGAGGAATGTTCTGGCGTGTCATTTTCAATCGTTTCATCTTCGCCACGATTCTTTCTAACCTGGTCGTTATGTTGACTTGCTGGGCTCACGGTAACTTTGGAACTCACATCGAATTCTGGTGTGTGGTACCTTTGCCTTTCATCATGCTCATCTTCAAGATCTACTGCAACCGGGCTTTCAACGACAAGATCACATACTACAGCATTCAGGACGTTACCAAGTCACCCGAGAATGGAGTCGACCCCAAGGAGAATCGTATGAGAAGCGAACGATTGGCAAACCGATTCGGTCATCCTGCCCTCTACCGACCTCTCATCACACCCATGGTGCACGCCAAAGCGCAAAACCTTCTCCCTGCCATTTACAAGGGTCGCCTGACTGATGGTAGAGAAGTTGATTCCGGTGACATGATGACTGTGAGTGGCTACTCGGACATGGTTGTGCTCGATCCTATGCAGGGCGGAAAACCAGGCAAGCTTGCCAACAATGTTCCTGGATTCGAGTTTGTGAACGACACTCAGATGGACTTTGAGTACTACAAGAATCGAGCCGAGTTTGCAGAGAACCACGGTGGAGGTGAAATTTACGGTCGCCCGGGAGAGATCGGCCGTCCTGGCACCCCAGGATCTTTGGATGGCAGCGATTTCTCACGTCCCGGCACTCCTGTTGGTGGCGGTCGTTCTGCCTCTCCTGCTGCATTTGCTGGCGGAGCAGCCCAGCAGCAACGATTGATGTCTCTTGCCAGCAACGTTAGCGGTGACACAAGTTACTCGTCTTACCGACCAGGTGCCAATACCGGCTTCACTCAGCAGATGACTTTGGGTCAAGAGCCCCCTGCTCGAGGTCGTAGCCCGTTGTATGCCCAGAACAATGGAAGCTCGTCCAGTCTTGGACTCATCCAAAACGCTGCAGCTCCAGCGTACAGCAGCAACCTCAACACTCCAGGCCGCATGACACCTGCACAATCGCCCGGACCTTCGGTCGGCGCTATGGGCGGCGGGCCTCAAGGCTATAGCGGTCTTTCGCAGCACGAAGCTGAGCAATCATATGACTACTTCCGTGGCAACACTCGCCCCAGGAGAAATCCTGGCGAAGGGTGGTAGATATATATTCATTCAAAAAAAGACACGTCTTTTCATTGCATAAAATTTGCGCGGCGTTTGGATAGAATGGGACAGGGACCCTTTTGGAATTGCGAAATGAGGTGGAAATTGCTACAAGATGAGATGATCCGGTACATAACATACCCGGTACATCTGCAATGAATAGAACATTTTTGGATTATAGCTTTTAATTCACAACAGCCCTTACCATTTCACCACGAGAGACGTTCATTTTTCATGGTCTATTTTTGTGTTCAGATTATTTTAATGGAGATAAAGCTGATAAGCTACCCCGGAAAATACTCGTGGGCTGCCAAGAGGGGAGCCAACTAAGCAAGGGACCCATCAACCGTGCCTCTAGTATGCATTCAAAGACAGATGCCCGCTTGCTTACGTGGATGAGATCTCTGATTTACAACTCATTCCATTACTTAACTTGTTATGCCATGCATGACGACACCGCTATAATACGGGAGTCGACTATTTTATTCAAGCATACATAAGAACAGGTTCTCCGCCAGAGTTGTGAACAGTAGTATCAGCTTTGCTCAAACCTGGAGTTGAATCAAAATGACTACGACCTCCGAAATGCAAACAGTGCGACGCCTAGGTCTATTGTAAGTCATGTCGGCAGTACTTGACTACATTACTGACGTGTTACTCAGAGAGGCTGGCTCGGCTGCTTTTCACCTCATGGGTTTATATCGCTCAGTGGTAGTATCTGCGACGTACAGTATTCCCTCACGCGAGCAGTCTAAAGAAGCCATGCTCGCAGCTCTGGGGGGTTTGATCAATGATAACCCTATGCTGCGTGTTGGCATCAAAGATGAGGGTAGCACTATCGCCTACTTTACTCACATTTCCGAGATGAAGCTCAAGGACTTTGTCGAGTTCCGCACTTCTGCTTCTGATCTTGACTTTAGTAAAGATTTGAAACATCTGCACTGCTGGTGCCATGATCAAATTTTCCAGGATGTTGAGACGAGGCCACCATGGAGGGTGTTTGTTCTTCGACCAGACGGGGAATCTCCTGCTTTTGAGGCTGTTGTTTTTGCCTTTCACCATTCTCTTATGGATGGGATGGGAGGGAGATTGTTCCATGAGAAACTACTCACAAAGCTGAACTCGTTGCCTCCCAACCCATCGCCGCCAGCGGTCCTATCCTTTCCAGAGTGCCCCGTGCTGCCTGAACCGCAAGACAATGTCATCGACTATACAACCACTCTGTCTCGCCGATTCTCAGGCCTGTTGAATTGGATGCGACCTTCTTTTTTTACACCTACTCACGAAATTTGGTCTGCTGAACCCGTCGAATTCAGTCGTCCTCACAAGACTCGGTTGGCTGTCGTGGATATTCCTCCCGATGTGATGAAGAGTGTCCTCGCGGCGACTCGTTCCTATAGAACATCTCTTACAGGCCTGTTGCACGCTCTTGCACTAGCATCACTATCTCGACGTGTTCCCGACGCACCGGGTTTTACGTCTTCAACACCTATAAGCATGCGTCCGTACATATCTCCCACGGCTGACCCTGCTCAGAAAGAGGCCCTGTTTGGATGTGTGACTGGTACAGCACACGAACACCTTTCTGCGGAACTTGCTGCTCTCCGAAGCGCACAAGGCGAGGCACTTGATGATCTAGTCTGGTCACACGCACGAAAGATAAAAGAGGAGCTCAAACAAAAGACATCTACTCTACCAGCCACCGATGGCCTCAAAGCACTCCGCAGTATTAAAGACTGGACTGAGTTCTTGATTGAAAGAGACGGAAGCAAGCGCAGAAGGACCTGGGAAGTCAGCAATCTCGGTATGCTGACAGAACCTGCCGAGAATGGACCTGACAAGAGGACCATATTGCATGCAATGTTTACGAACGGGCCTATGATCTCAAGCGATCCGATGAGCATTAGCGTTGTAAGCGTTAAGAATGGGATGCTGACTTTGGGAATAACGTGGAATGATAGTAGTGTGGATGAAAAGCTTATGGAGGGTTTGAGGGGAGATTTGGAGTCTTCCCTGAAGCAATTACATGAGGAGGGAGACTTGTGCATGCACTGGCTGTATGAAGAGGACTCTGAGGATGAGGCTTAAGAAAATAAAATTTCTAGGTGATGGACATACACCGGGACTATAGCTGTTTGCTAAGTATGTGAGAGTTCTCGAATATACAAGTATAAGTAACCCTCTTTCTGCGGTCTAAGAATTATACAACTACATATTCATGACGGAAAGATGCAAACAACGATTAATGACGAAAACGGGAAGATTATCATTTACCCCACTATCAAAGACGGTAGAGGGACCAGACGCCATGACCAGGGGACCCCCATGTCCAGGACCATCGCTCGCTTTCATTTCCGCGACGCGTTAATCCACAACCCGACAAAAACACTTAATCAGTCAATCCCTTTTTTTGCGCGCTGTTGATGTTTATTTCGCTATTGTTGTACAAACATACGATACCCATTCCAACATTTACTTGCTTTACCCATACATACCGTTTTGTACCACCTTTTCTTTCAGCGACCGGTTGCCCGTTCGACTCTTCTACTACAATCGCTGTCGCCATGCAATAAACGCGACGTCGTCCGACACGACAGATAATGTACTATCGACAACGTTTGGACTACTACATATAATCGCATACAACTGCCTCACCCAATGGATCGCGACAGGAGTTCGCTGCTCGACCGGTCGAGTCAGCTCGTTGTCAAGCAGTCTGGGAGGAAACCACTTTTCACAAGCAACATACCGCGGGGAAGCGACAGGAATAAGGAGAACGAAGAGGCCTTGCAAAGCAATTCGAAGCTTGACTATAGTATACGAAGCAATGGATTTAGGCGATCGATAACTTCGGATGCCGATAGAAGGGGAAGTGTCGGCAGCGTTGGATCTCGCGACAGCAAATTACCTACACCAAGATTTTCCTCGTCCGCTCGGAAACGACTCTCAATGTCCGATGCTTTCGCTCTAGCTGCCAAAGAAGTCGATGAGGATAGCGAAGGGAGTCAGGCTGTCGATGCATCACCAAGCCCAGCGCCCCGAACCTGGCGTGAACGAAACCAGGGAAATGAGAGTCAGCTACGACAAGCATACAACCAGAACCAGAGTCACTTGGATACAAAAGCGCCTAACCGACCTTTTTCGCGAGGCTCGTTCGCAGCGTCAAGGATACCCGAAGCCAAAAATTCGCCTGGCACCGCATCACCGCGACAGCGCACCTTTTACGGAAAGTCGAGAGCGGGATTGTCGTTTGGGCATAAGGAGCTCACGCCAGAGATCAATGGAGTGCAGGGGGGGAGCCGACCGGGAAGCGCAGCCGCGATACGACGATCAGCCAGCCCGAGTGGAATACCACGACCAAGCTCAAGCTGGGGATTAAGGCATATGCCCTCGAAAGATGATTTGACGAAACAGGGACGAATTCCAGAACTCGTCCCTGGTATAGAGGACCTACTTCCATCAATTGAGGGCCCTGATGCTCAAAACGAACCAGCCAAACCTGAGCCAGCCGAAGCGTCCCCTGAAAAGAGCTTTGCATGGCAGGTAGACGATGATTTTACAGCTGGGGAGTTCCAAATGTCGGATAGTCCAAGAATTCGGATGGGCGAGCGTCCATTTGCGAACCGAATCCACTTTGACGAAGGTAGTGAGATCGATATAAACTCGCGGACAAGGGTGGCGCATCCTGGAGCGCGCAACACCAAGCTCGATGAGATTCGATCGCGAGAAGTCAAGACAGGAAGTGATCTCCCTGTTGAGCCATGGCAATCTCACAATACAAAAATTGACGAGATACGGGCGCGTGAGGAGCAAGTCAAACACCAAATACCTATTCCTGACCGCAATGCACCGAGACCGAGAAATACCAAATTAGATGCGATCCGACAACGGGAGGTTAATGGTATCCCTAGAAGATCGATGGCTTCGATCAGGTTGGACGAGATCCGAGAGCAAAATGGAATGACTCGCTCACGTTCACCAGAAGAGAATCGACCTCAGACAAGCCGAGGGATGGTCCCAGAGACAAAGTCCAACGTTGAGATCGAAACGCAGGAACCGCCGCCTCGGCCAAAGTCTGCATTTGAGACAGCCGGTGAACAAATTCCAGACACGCCTGTAACAATATACAAGTCACAACGAGCAAATGTAGAAGCGCATCAAACAGAAGGAGATGTTTTAAACAACGACCAACAACCTGCACGACTGGGTCTGTCGCACATGCGTACTGATTCCCGAGACCTACTGCGACGCTTGGCCAGGGCTGCCAGTTCCAGTCCTGCGCCAGAAACTGAGCCGCGGCAGGTGGTCGACAGTGACAAACCCGCATCTGTACCCCAGGATCCCAAACCCGACACTGCATCTACAATTTCGCAACCTTCCACCAGCAATGGCTTCCGAAGTCGTCAACAACGCAGGAAAGATTCCGACACAAAACCTACTGTTGGGTTTACTGGTCTTCCTCGAAGTCGTTCTACAGATTCTGTTAAAAGCAAGAAATCCATGAATTCTGATGCTGACCCTACAGCTCGCCTCGAAGCGGAGGCCAGTTTATTTGCGCCGGGCGATACTCATTCTGAAAGGGGATCTGTTAAAGCGCCTTCGCCAGAGCCTGACTCTGACGATGACTCTGAAGATGCCAAGAATATTGAGGCAACACCTCGGCCGTCCAAGCCAGATCCCCTGACTATGCCCACGCCTAAGATTACGGGCGCATATGTGGAAACGCCTGCGACGGTCAAGGTTGAGAAATTTGAAGTCAAGGACAAACATGAAAAGCCAAAGAGGGAGGAAAAGCCGTTGCGACAAAGATCTGCATCGTTCCGTGATAAGAGGACGGATCGTGCGATGAGTGGTAGCGATAGGGACACAGCATCAGATCCGGGGACAGACGACAAACTTGCTACCAAAACTTCGTCGAGTGGGGTGAGAAAGCGGCGCACTCGTTCTCTCTCACGCCGCAGAGGCACACTTAAAAACTCAGCAAGACTTCCAACAGTCAAGGACGATCTCAAAGAGCTCCAACGCACACATCACATTGAGGATTCCACGTTGGATGATCTTGAAGAGGTTATTCTTGGTCGCAGGGCCCCGTCTCGACAAGTTGAGGCCCTTCTCGATAAGCTACCACAAGACTCATCTTTTGACGACGACTTTGACTTCGAACTGGAACTTGATACTAAACTCAACACGCGCACCAACCAGATCGACCCCCAGAATAACGATAACTCCGATCTGGATCGACTCACGCGCATGAACAAGACACTCAAAAGTAGCCTCTACGGAATTCACACTGCCGCAAGGGGTATTGAACGTCTATCTGACCAGGTCAGCACCAAGAACAAGGCCGCCGACAAAGCAGCAGAAGAGAAGGCTATTGAAGACAAAGCATTAGAAGAAATTGCCGCTCAAGATAAACCAATAGCATTGAAGATACCGAAAGAAGAGCCGGTCGAGAAGAATCTCCTCGATATCATCAAGCCCGAGCCGGTCCCTGAAAAGATGGCTGCCTTGCACGACAGCCACGGCACAGGCCCCGCCTACATCACGCACCCTGGTGCCAAAACAGTGTCGTACATACAATTTCCCGTGCCACAACTCTACCGCCGCAAGCCATTCTTCCGCTTCACGTTTCTTGGGCTCGTTCTTTTTCTCCTTGGGTCCTGGTATATTGCTGAGTCCGCCATGTGCGCCCAATTCTGCCGTCCTACTCGCTGTAGCAGCTCACCCTGCGTCTGGTCTGTCAACGATCCTACCTTTGGCAACGCTATACCTGTGAAGCTGGACCAATGGGCCACAGGCGGTCGCGGACGTATCTTTGCTGAGCAATTCAAGGAAGAAGTTGAGGATTGGTTCGCAGACATGCAGGACATGTATTACGAGCGCGAAATCACCGATATCGACATCAACAGGCTCTCATTTGAACAAAAGCGTCAGCATCGTCGACGACTTCGTAAGAAGGGACTCGTGAAGCCTCGCGTGCAGACCGCAGAGCAACGGGCCAAGTGGGATGCGTGGCGACAAGCACGACGAGAGCAAGAGCGAGAGAAGGAAGCGAGAGAGATGGGCTATGAGATCTCAGGGGATGAGGATGAAACTATCGGAGGAGACCAGAGGGTCTGGTAATACCAACCTATCCTCGTTAATCAGAGTTTTGGTACATTATGTACTCGAGGACAATTCATATTACTACTAAAAATATATCCCGGAAGCAGGCGTTTGAAGTCGCATTTTCGAATTCGTTTAACAGTAATGACAATAGATGGTGGTGATATTTTCAGATGGTATCAACCTCTAGCCCACGTATAAAGAAGTCGGCTCTAAACCGTAATGCATTTTTCCATAACCCAACGCCATGCGCCTGCAAAAGACCGGCCTCTTAATCGTCAATACCACCCCACTCCTCGTCATCCTCCTCCTCATCACCGCTGGCAGCTTGGACCCATGGCAATCTCTCATCCTCGTAGCTATCACCTGCGCGCGCCCTCACAGGCTTAACAGGACACCTCTTCAGTGCAATCACAACATCTCCCAAGCTCTTGACGAAGGCCTCAGCCTCAGGTTGCTCCAGCGCCTTCTCGCGCTCCAACTCATCAACCCAGATATCCAGCGCATGCAGTCTAATGCCCACAGGGTTCTTTCGCAAATCGCCCTCCTTATCGAAAGGAAACTCGGCCAGAACTCCTACAATGGCCTCAACGTCACCGTCCTTCCAGTCGCGCTCCCTCAGGAATCGCACGTGCGAGGCGAAAACGCGACGGACGAGAAGAAGAAACTTTTCAAGGCGGAGGACGTCGATGTCGGTCCACTGAATTCCGACGACAGTCCAGAATCCGCGTAACCAGGGGATGGCGCAGACGGGCTTCAGAGTGAAGAGGAGGTTGGCGAGGTCGGTTGCGAGACGCTGCTGGGGGAGGGGACGGTCGGTCATCCAGAGGGCGTAGAAGAGACCTTTCCAGAGCTTCTGGGCGTCGAGGTCGGAAAGGGATGGGCGGGAGGCGAGGAATGTTGTAAGGGTCTCTAGAGAAGCTGTTCGGAGTTTGCGATCTGAGAATAGATTAGTAAAGTCGTCGAGAAAGAAGGAAAAAGAGAGACAAACCGCTTGAAGCGAGGTTGCGAATAAATGGCATTTGAGATTCTTGAGAGGCCATTTTACAAAGACTAGAGCGTCAATGGCTCTTTAACTTGGCTCTATGTGTTGTTTATAGTATATCTTCTTATGGGGTGGGTTGTCGAAACGAGAGAATACGGCAATAGCTTGGTTGGTGTTGAAGATGTAAAAGATGCAACGCCTATAGATTGGTGGACAACTTTTTTTCAAGGTGAAGGGTGGGATGCCGGATCCATGTGGGGGCTTCACCGAGAATTCGAAGTGGGGCCGGTTTTGCTGGTCTAGCAAGGGACTTTTTGAGATTGAAGAAGAGGCAGTTTGTTATAGCAAGCTTGTATCAAGATATGGATGGGTTTTGTGAATTATTTCCTTGAGAGGTACTATGGGTCTATCTCATTCCGTTGAACAAGCTACACTTTGTCTAAGTGTACTTTGACAAAATTTGCAGCTGTCCAGTGCCGTTGTGAAAGTTCGGTTTCCAGCCTCCGGTTCTCAGCAAGACTTGACAGACGATGTTCAAGACACACTTAATACCCAACTCAAAATACTCGTTGACGTAGAATAATTAACGATCTATATTAATTTCCGCCTCAGACACTCAGGCTTATTCAGCTGTAATTTATGTGCTGCAACCACTGGCTTCCAGCGAATGACCCCGCGCGGGGCATCCACATCAACGTTGACCGCGCCCAAAATTTTGAGTGTCTCCATTTCGTCACTTTTCATTCCTTCCATTCATTCCCTTCAACCTCCAGCTCTGTCCTAACCACCAGCCTCAAGATAAACCCTAACTCCATAAAGATACGAGGAAACCAACATACCATGGCCGAATCATCTACAACCGCTGGCGAAGCCCCCAAGGCTAACTCGCCTCCCGTCGCCATCGTCTGCGTTGGCATGGCGGGTAAGCTACAGTCCTAACCGTCGCGCATTTCCATACCTAACTATTCTTCTAGGATCTGGAAAGACTACTTTCATGCGACGCATCAACGCTCATCTTCACCAGAACGACACTCCTCCATATGTCATCAACCTCGATCCTGCTGTACTGTCTGTGCCTTTTGAGTCCAACATCGATATCCGCGACTCGGTCAACTACGAAGAGGTCATGAAGCAGTACAACCTCGGTCCCAACGGTGGAATCTTGACCTCTCTTAACCTCTTTGCTACAAAGGTTGACCAGGTCGTCAACCTGCTCGAGAAGCGCGCCCAGCCCGATCCCGAGAAGCCCGATCGCAAGCCCATTGATAGAATTCTGGTCGACACACCCGGACAAATCGAGGTCTTTGTCTGGTCTGCCTCTGGAACTATTCTCCTCGAGTCGCTTGCCTCTTCTTTCCCTACTGTTATCGCCTATGTTATCGATACCCCGCGAACTGCGTCCACCTCGACCTTCATGTCTAACATGCTTTACGCTTGCTCTATTCTCTACAAGACAAAGCTTCCTATGATTCTGGTCTTCAACAAGACTGATGTCAAGGACGCCGAGTTTGCCAAGGAGTGGATGACCGACTTTGAAGCTTTCCAGGAGGCTCTACGAAAGGATGAGGAGTCGGATGAGCTGGGTGGTGTTGAGGGCGGTGGCCACGGTGGTAGCGGATACATGGGCAGTCTTCTCAACTCGATGAGTTTGATGTTGGAGGAGTTCTACGCTCATCTTAGCGTTGTTGGTGTGAGTTCACGGCTGGGCACCGGCGTGGACGAGTTCTTCGAGGCTGTCGAGGAAAAGAGGCAGGAATTCTTGCGCGACTATCAACCCGAGCTTGAGCGAAAGAGGGCAGAGCGCGAGGAGCAAAAGAAGGCCACCCGCGAGAAGGAGCTGGACAAGATGATGCAGGGCATGTCAGTTGGCGGCCTACCGGTAGCCAAGGAAGAGGACGATGCCGATGTTGCCAGCGATGATGATGGGGATGATACTGATTCCGACGAGGAGGTCCAGAAGCAAGGTCTGCAAGATCGATACGAAGCTGCCATGGGTGATCAGGATGATTCAGTCATGGCGGACGCAAGTTTCGCAAAGTACCTCCATACCCAGAGGTAATGATAAAGGGAAAAAGCATACAGTGGCGTTTGGGGGGGTAAATTTAGGATTTTCAGCTTAGACATTTACAAGCCGATTTTGAGGCTTGAGGGGACAAAACAAAGAAGTAATCAATCACACAGACTTGAGTATCAGTCGTGCGGCGCAAACCGTGTCACATTGTCTATTTATTTTTCATTCGACGTAATTCCCAGACCCAAAACTCCCATCTTGATGAAATCAGTATACCTCATGCTTGTTCTCTTGCAAGGTCTTCTTCTTCGTCTTCCTCTTTTCGCTTGGTAATCAAAGGTCGTTTATTGTCTATCGGGCCTCAAACTGCACCATACTATCGTCGCAGTTAGTAACATACACTTGTCGAGCCAAGTACGGGGCTATTTACCGCTTGGTTCGCTCCTTGTAAAGAATGCGACCGGCGCAGTGAGGGCAGGCGACAAGAGCATCCTTGCCGAGGGTGACGCTGCCGCCGCAGTCACCGCAGATGTAGGCCATGACATGACGAACCTGGTGGTCGTCGCGGGTACCGCCACGCTGGCCGGTAGAGGCGGTAGGAATTTGGTACTCTTCGCGAGGCATTGTGACGTTGGTTATGTGGTTGTGATGGTGGGTTGTTGATTAAGCTGGGGCGATAGGTTGCTTTTTGGTAGTGAAGGAAAAGATTAGAGGCGCTTTGGGCGTGAAGGCGGTGATGGGAAAGTTTGGACGGCAGAATTGGGCGGTGAAGAAGTGCTTTAGCGGGTACGTACTTGCGTACCTCGATGCGATCCTCAATCAGTAGCTGAGCTTGAGAAGGTAAAAGAAATAACTAGACAACTAATACTCGGTCCTAAGTAGCATGGGGTGTCTGAAAGATTTTGTTTTGCACAATATCAGAGTCAATTCTCCTATTGAGGGATGACATACTATGGGAGCAGCCAAGGTATGTAAGACATAGACGTTAACATGTGAATTACATTTGTAGCTCTATTTAAGAACAGAATACCTTTGAGTAACGACACACTCTTCATCTCACGACGGTATATGTCAATACTATTAAGCCATTTAACAAGTGAATGCTGAAGTTATCTTAAGCTGAGGCCAACGACAGAGAGTTCAGTAGCGTTATTGGACAAGTTTTAGCTAGACATGGTTTCGATACTAAGCTTGTATCTCATCACAAGCATCTGCTAAAAGCCCTCAATCAGTAGACATCATATACATTTTATCATCACCAATAGTTCCTTGCCAGTCTGAGAAACAAGCGTTTTGGTTAGTGGTAGTTAAAGCACCCCACAGCGACCACATCCACTAATAAATGCACTAAAATCGGCCCCGGTCTCGATCCCCAATCCCTGGACATCCCTGGTCAATCATGATTGCTGAATTCATGTTCGATCTCATCTCATCTCAACCTCGGTTCCTAGATCTCATCAAACTTCTTTCCGATCTCAAACTTGCAACATCACCAATTCTTTCTCTGGTCATATTTCGATTCGTAACCCTTCATAGTCCACCTTTTTAGCTTCATACTCAACCATGTTTGACCCTTCAGCTCCTCCCCCAACAGCAACATGCCCTTTCTGCATGATCTCCTCGGTCTATGAACCATTCGACCCCTTGAATCCACCGCCATCAACATCCTCACTCATCAATCCCGAGCTGGTATCTCCAGCATCTTTCGTTGTTCTTTCAACGCCTGTTCTCGTTGCCTTTCTCGATATCCTACCTCTAAGCCGGGGTCATCTTCTTCTCTGCACGCGACCGCATCGCCCTAAGCTAAGCGACGTCACGGCTTCAGAGTCCGCTCAACTGGGTCGTTATCTACGCATTCTCTCAAAGGCCATGGCACGAGCAACTGGTATAGAAGATTGGAATGTGGTGCAAAATAATGGCGCTGCTGCTGCCCAGGTCGTGCCTCATATGCACTTTCATATCATCCCGCGGCCAGAAATCAGAGCCAGTGGGCGTTTCAGTGAGAGTTTTACCATGTTTGGAAGGGGAAAGAGAGAGGAGTTGGACGATGATGAGGCGGTTGTTTTGGCGGAAGAATTCAGACAAAGCATCGCTACTGTAATGAGGGAGGAGGAGGATGAATCTCAAAATGAGGAAAAGTCTAAACTCTGAGTTGAGGATCTACATCGTGTTATCTCATTGGTCAAGCATGTTCTCCAAATGTTATTCGTTCATCTGATACCCTTCCTGTAAGTATTTCTGCTATTTATCAATCTATACCAAGTTACTCAAGTTGTACCTTCTACCATCATCCCATACTGCTATCGTGAAACCTCACTCGTCGTCTCTAAAGAACACTCTTATCAGCAGAAACTCATCGCTGACGGCCTTGAACCGCTCTTCGATGTCATCGATCGCCCCCATCTCGTCGTCTGTCAGCTCCCATCCGCCCAATTCCAAGTTAGACTTGATTCTGGAGGGAGTGACACTCTTGCAAACCACGCCCCAGCCCTTCTCTATGCCCCACTGGAGCAACACCTGCTGTACTGTCTTCTCATTCGCCTCAGCGATGTCGATCAAGGTCTCGTTACGGTACAGGGCTGAACGACCAGATCCCAAGCACGAATAGCCTTCCGTATGGGTATCTCGAGAGGCGCAGTATGCTACAAGCTTTGGCGATGGGTTGCAAGGGTGTAGCTCGATCTGGTTGACAGCGGGCACAATCTATACAGTTAGCGATGAGCTTTATCGAGGCCAGAATACTCTACTCACTTCAGTCCAACGGCTCTTCAACAGCTTCTCCAACTGTTGAATCCCAAAGTTGGACACGCCAATGTTCAGGACCTTGCCCGTGTGCAGCAATTCCTCCATTTCCATCCACGTATCAACAATGTCCCAATCCTCGTAACAAACCGCCGGGTTGTCTGCGTCCCTAGGACAGGACCAGTGAATCAAGTACAAGTCAAGATATCCCACACCGAGATTCTTTAGACTCTTTTCAAGACATTGCGGGGCGTGTTTGTGCCAGTTGTTTCGGAGCTTGCCTGATACCCAGATCTCTTTACGAAGGACACCAGAAGCGCGGATTCCAGCTCCCACTTCTCGCTCGTTACCATAGGCGAGTGCTGTGTCGATATGGCGGTAGCCAGCGCGGAGCGCTGTTTCCACAGCTTTTGCAGCTTGACTGCGGGGGATGCCCTATGTGCCAAAGCCGACGGCAGGCATTTCATCACCCGTGTTGAGGGTGAAAGTGCGTCTAAGTGAGATATCAGCAGGCTGGCCAAAGCCAGTACAACTTAACTTACACGTCTGGGGCCATTTTGGTGGTATTCGAATTGCTTTCGCCAACTTTTGTCGTTCGTCTGTTGCTAAGGACGTAAGTCTTCTTGTGCAGGCCAGATAGATCGTTGCTGTTTGTTGTATTGAGCTTGAGCTGGGCAGCATGGTCTACACGAGTTTAAATAGACATGCCAGCCTAGTTATCATTCACCCATTGGTATTCTGGCTTGGTTGTCAAGTGGTACGTTCCTCAAGTTATCCATTCGATATTCATCGTGGCGGTCTTTGTTGGGAGCAATGATTTGTTCGCCTGGTTAGAGAGACAAGGTGGTATGGCAAGCCTATATTGATATCGACAAAGATGCTCTTTCATATCTATAGCATGTCACTGACCTTTTCAATATCAGATCTAACATTGTAGATAATTCAACACCTTGTCGCCCCTGGTCATAATACTTTAGTTTCTTTGTCGATAAAGGTCTACCTAGGCACCCTGGTACTCTTTAGTGTACCCAACAAGGGTCCTTTCACGTCTCTACAAGCCTCTTTTCAATGACCAGAGCATACTTCACATAGTTTTATGACGAATCAGTTAATGACGTTAATGCGAACGTTGGCTAAGACAGTTGCAGCATTGCCACTGATTGAGTTGTTAGCATTTCATTGTCGCGCAACTACATGTTACTGAGAAACTTGTTCAAGCGAATTGGGGCTCCTGTTATTACTCATACATAGCAGAATCGGTTTCCCTCCTATTAAGATACATGACTTTAAATCAACATAAACCTTTCCGATAATCCTTTAACTCTGGTACTGATATCAAGCAACTCCTTCCAAGCCAATTAACCATGGTGCATCCATAACAAAACCCCGAACCCTCCAGCCTTTGAACCTGTTTTTATGCTTTTCTACCTTTTTGTTTACTCTCGCCATTTTTTTGTGTTTATTCCTTATTCGCCATCATGGTTGCCCGTTAACTATTGCCTCCCATACGCCCCAATCCTTATCCTCTCCTTTTTCCAATCCCTCACTCCTAATCATACCATACCAAAGATAAATCAACTCATCATCTAACTGAACTAAACTGAACTAAACCATACACCGTCTTCCATCTGGAGCAATTCTTCCTCGGAGCTCCCTCCTCTCCCTCTCAAGTCTAGCCGTTTGCTTCTCGAGCGCACGAATTCGTTCGCGCGCAAGATCAAGCACTTCGGCTTTGCTCACTCGGCGGTCATTGGCAATGCCGCCTTCTGTACCTGGTGGAGGCAGGACAGAAAGGAGGCGCTCAAAGTGGGTGTTGAGGCGCTTGCGGTATTGCTGCTCAACCTGGTTGTGCGCAGCCCGTGCCTTGACTTCTTCAGACGTCTCGCTGGGATGTCTGGGCTGAGCAGCCGCAGCGCCACGCTTCTTGGGAGCACGAGAAGCGGTGCGCAGCTGCGTTGGGTTGCGCTTGGGTGTGTCTTTGCTACCCCTTGTTTTTGTTATCTTGGATGCCGTGGAACGCTTGCGCTTCTTGCTCGCGGGCTCCGACGAGTCATCGTCGTAGTCATCATCATCCTGGTTATCTTCCTCGGGTGGGGACGAAGCGGCCGAGAGCTCGTCTGCCATGGGCGGCGTAGGGAGGAACGTCGCCGCCGGCGAGACGTGAGCGGGCCACACGGGACCGAGGGATGGACTGGCAGAGGACAGATCGTAGCCTTCAGAGAAGCTAGATGAGGTACGATGAGGCGGGTGGACGGGGAATTGTCCCGGCGTTGTAGGATGGATGGCATAGTTGGAGGAGAAGTCTCCAAAGGAACGATCAAGGTAGGCAAGGTCTGTCAGGGGGGAGGGGAAGACGGTGTTATCGAGACTAGGCGTCTCTGGAGACTGAAGAGGGTTCTGCAGTTGACGTGTTGGTTAGCTTTGTCTCTGGAACTGAGCTGTTGGTAAAGGGGTACTTACTGTAGAAGTCTCGTATGAAGCGTCCAGGCTGGAGAAGGGCATGGCGGCAGCATCGATGCCGTTCATCCAGTCATCGGGCATGCGTCCAAAGCGCGCTGCTCCGTCTCCGTCGCCGACGGTCTCGAGGAAATTTGAGCTCATCATTTTGGCTTTTGTTTAACGGCTGTCCGCAAATACTAGAACTAGCACGAGGTTGTCCTTGAACCCCGTCATCACGGAAGGGGAGTTTCTGGCACAACGATTCCCGAAGAGGTTCTTTCGGTTTCTTCTATGCTGTCTGTGTTCTTCTTTTGCTTCTGGGTAAAAAAGGTAAAGAGTAAAAAGGGGGGTTCTTGTTATAGGCAGTTAAGAAGGCGGCAGACTCGTAGTCTCGAGGCTGGTCGGTTGTCTTTTACTGTTGACAAGCCACAAGCCATAACGGAGCTACTCTGTTTCTCTTCTGTTCTGGATCGTATGTGCGGTTTTCTTCGTTCTTCTTCGTCTGTTCTCCTTGCTGGCTTGGGGGGGAAGTAGGACGGAAGACCCGAGGTTTACAGAGCAGAGGACAGGTTCACAACTTCAATCTTGGGGCTGAGAAGGTCCCCTTATATACTACGATTTTTTTTTCTATTTCAGACCCAGCACCCGGTGCCCAAATAGAAGTGCCAAGGATCAAATTACTCGAAACTACCACCACCTCCATGCATAAGAAATCCAACGAGTCGTGTAGCAAAGAAAAACAAGCCTGGCGGGGGGGAGGGTGCCAAAGTAAGAAGACTGTAAGAAATTGAGAAAGGGCGCGGCCCAACAGCGATTCGCATTACGACACCTGCTGCAACGCAACTCCAAGAGCCGTGACACACGGACTGTAAAGCCGTGACCGGAGGGGACGGGGACCTGGCATGGATATGTATGGGACATGGACCAATGTGATGCATCACAAGTTTGCAAAAGCTAAGTTATCCTTCGCTTAGAGGGCTCGGACTTAGGGCCACAGGCACAAACACGGACATGACATGAGGTCAAGGAGCAGTATGTACGGTAAAGCATTCCGCGAAGGGGAACCTGGGAACTTTGACGCCTGTCAGGTCTTGTTTACGGGAGGCCAATTGCCAAGAGCCAGCTGGGCTTGGCACCTGTCAAGGATGGGCATTCTGTTAGTAATCCGGGCACTTGGCTACCTAATAGCCACGTAAGAGGAACTGTCTGAGGTTTTTGATAAGTCCGAGTAAAGATTGTGTTGTGTCGTGTAAACCTAGTAAGAAGATATATAGTCTCCTTGACTGAGTGACTCTCGAGGAGGGAAAAGAGTATAATCAACCCACCCGGTACCCAAGACATGTCGTCTGCTTAAACTACAAAAGAGCAAAATGTAGTTGTAGAGTTAAAGAAAACTTGGGGGTGGTATGAGTTTATCCCCAGAGCTAAAGAGCGCCCAGTGGATCCTCACCCCTGTAAGATGGGGTATCGTTGACTAACCTCAATCTCGTTTGCCTTGGAAGAGGCCGTGGGGAGTGAGATGCTGAGTTACAGAAAGAATACTCTGACTGTTGCCGAGGATGATACAGATCGACGATGGGCAAAAGGCCATGTTTAGAATTACTTTTCGCCCTGTGGTTTTTTGAAGCAGGTTGAGTCACGAGGACCTAACAGGATTGCACCTTTACCTATTGGGATAGTATGGCATATCCACGGCTGTTGTGTGTGTGTGTGTGTGTATGTGTGTTGGTTCTCTCTTTTCTCTTGTTCTTCTTGGGTAATAGGAATCAAGAATTGCGTCAACAAAAGTTGTATTCACTATGTCACCATGGCATCACTGTCAAGTTGGTGAAAAGTTTTATGTCGGTCCAACACGACTGTACCAAGTGCGTACATGTTTAGATCCTGCTGGTCAGGCTTGGCTTTGCTATTTTCTGTCAGGTGAACGCGTGGTAAAGAGCATTGGCGTGCATCAGATCAGACCACCCTGCAACGGCTTTGACCTTGCCTTTTCTGTTCATTTGGTTTCCAGAATATGAAAGAATCCGGGGTAGGGGGGCTCCTCACGAATCTGCTGTCTTCTGTCATTGGTAGTGGTGTTCCTTGGTTTCCATGGAACATCTCAGTCCTTCAACGTCTCCGTACCAGACACAGTAGACTTCTAAGCTGCCATTTAACATATGGAAATGATGTCGCCTTCTCTTAATACAGACAGTGTAACTGCCATACTCTAGCTTAGATGCTACATCGACAAGTTACCATATCGAGGTCAACATCTTGAGTGTCCTTCACCACATCTCCCATCAGACATAAACAACCCCAAGCAGATACGTCCTCTACAACAACACCCCCTTTTCACTTCAACCCCAAGAATAAACATCATGACCCTCAGTCAAACCCTCAACCTTCCCTCAGCCCTACCCGTTGCGGAGTCACGAAAAGCATCTGCACCAATAACAACACCATGGCAGGGGTTCTCTCTGCGCGCTTTTTTTCATGACATCCTATTTTCGTCCTCCCCCAGATAGAAAGAAACGTTTATTCTAAGGTTATTTTAGAGCATCTACGTACTTAAAACGTGGTTTCGGTTGATCGGTAAGTGGACACAGCGCGGGTAGATCAAGATCAACGATAAAGATCTGTCTTGGCCAGATCTCCTCCTGTTCCGTATTATGCCGTATTGCACGTGCTTTGAAGAAAAGAATTGACTGATCTGTCAAGGAAAGGGGATACGTAAGAGTTAACTTCCTGACATATCCCCCTTTATGGACGAGCTCTGGTTTGCTCCCCCCCAACACCACAACGGATAACTTATACTGTAACCAAACTGGTGACATAGCTGGACGACGACGATAACTCGATCACTCACAGAAGACTCTCGAAGCAACGATCTGAATATTTATGGATGAATCGAATACAAAGAACGAATTACTATACGACAGATAAGCTACCTCTTCAGTATTACTCGTCACCACCGGCCGTGACCGCCTTGGACTCTGGAGTCTCGGTGGCAGCAGGCGCCTCGGCAGCCTTAACGGTCTCTTTGGCTGGAGCAGGAACATCAGCTGTCTCCTCATCGCCTTCGGCATCCTCCTCGTCATTCTCTGCCTCCTCCTCCTCCTCCTCTTCTTCTTCTTCTTCCTCCTCATCGTCCTCAGCGTCGCCATTGAGTTCTTGGTCGTCCGCCTCGGCCGTCTTGCGCTTCTTTACAGGAGGCTCGACTGAATAATATTGTCAGCATTCTGCTCTTTATAAGAAGTTGACTATCCGAAACTGAGTCGGAAATGTGTAGATGGGCTAGGTCAGACACTATGCATGAGTGTCGATACTGCATGCCTGACCCAAGTACATCTACACATTGAGGACTTACCCTTTGCGTCGGCTTCTTTATCTTCTTCATCGTCATTCTCCTCTTCCTCCTCGACGTCTTCGTCTTCTTCACTTTGTTCCTCTTCGTCTGCGGTCGAGACGTACCTATTCGCTTGATGTCAGCCAAAAGTCATCGCGACAACATAACAGTCATGAACAAAATGCCGGTCCGGTATCGCAGGGAGCGAGTCCATATTCAGACGGTAAGTAAATTGCAATGCAATCAGAGATAGTCGCGAATGGAGCGTATGAATGGGTGTCATGCGTTGAATCGCATCGCGTCGAGGCGCCCCTCAATGTATGGTATGCGACATCAGATGCGCGCGCGCATACTTGGTAAGCTGCGCAACGAATCGCGCCAGCTGCGCAGCCAACAAACGTGCGATTGGGTAATTGACAACCGCAATCAAATCACGGAAAACAACATGTAAGAAAGCGAATAGCACTTACTCTTCCTCCTCCTCACCATCGGAGTCTTCGGGGAGGGAGACGAGCTCCTCCTCTTCGTCTTGCTTTCTCTTACGGGACATGGCGATTGTGGTGTATTGGAGTCTTTTAAGATGCGATTGACAAGTTCAAAGGACCAAGGCGTTTCTCTCAGGGGCGAGAGAGGGTTTTAAAGGTTGGTCAAGGTATAGCACGAGATACAGAGAGCTAGGCAAAGCAAAACAAGAATAGAACGGAAGAGAGGAGAGAGACAGAGGAAGGCTAGGGGAGGGCAGAGGGCGGGAGAGACTACGCGTGAGGAGCTGGAGGGCGACAGTAACAATGACCGCGACAGTGATAGAAAGGCAGAGAGCTGCCCAGTCCAGCCCAGCCAATTGCGGATGTCGTAGTCACCCCATCACTGGATACACTCCATGATTGTATGGTGGTGGTATATCAATACCTAACAGAAGTCAAGTAACGAATACATGGAAATGCGATGCAAGGAAGGCCTGCGACAAGTCGAGGTACAGTCCCACGAGCTTGCCATCTAAGGACGGATTGGGCGGCCCAGCTTTTGGTGTGGACAAGCTTCCCGGAGGTAAGCTGCGTTGCGCGCTGCAAGGCAGGTCAACAAGCTGCTTTGCGAACCACCAGCGTGCATCCGTTCAGTCCAGCCTCCAGGGCAGGTCGATCAGGGCCGTACGGAAGCCAAAGAAAGACGCGCAATGGACCAGAGATGGTTTCTGTCCAATCAAGATGTAGATATGGTCCTGGCTAAAGATACATGTCCCTGGAAAGCATCAAAGTAATACTTTAACTTTGGGGTTTCCTTTCCCGGCTTGTTCATCCAAGTACGTACAGGAAAGGGACCAGGCACAGAGAACGATAGAGAAGGGAATAGTTAGAGAGTGGGGAAATAGCTCAGTCTGACATACAGTACAGTACATAGAGAACCAGACTGGGAACGCGGGCACTGGAGGGGCTGGGCAAGCAACTACTCCCAGTCCCCGGAATATGTGACGTAGGACTTTCACGTTGTAGCCCAGAGTTGGAAGGGAGTGTCTCGGAAACTCAAGTAATCACCGGAAGTTGGGACCTTTTGTGTATTATTGTTGGTAGGTTCATCTTTGCGAATGATGAACGGTCAGAAGCTGCAGCAACAATTGAGCCAATTGTTTGTGATGAATATCCCTTGTAAAAAAGCAGATATACGAACTCTCATCAGCTTTCGAAACAAGGACGAACGGAGCTGCAGATAGCTCTGTAACATGTCACTTCACTTCCCCCCCCCCAAGAAACAGGAGCTTGAGGGGAGTGGTAGGGGTAAAGGGGAGCTCGGGCCCCTCATTAAGACTGGAGGAGGCTGGAGCTGGAGCTGAACCTGAAAA